AATACAACACAGAAGAAGCGAGAGGATAGCAGGGGGTGGAAACGCCGTGAAAGGCCGCCAAGAACGAATTGGGGCTGTTCTGTATGCAACATTCCGTTCTGTAGAGAGGGCACATGCTGGAGCGAGCACGTAGCCCGGCTCAACACCATTGCCTAGCTCTACAAGCAGATATGTACATAGAAATCACGAATTCAAACATTCTCATCTCTCCGTAGCTCTCATACTCAGGGGCCGATGCGGTGCATCTGATTGGCTACAAAAAGTGGCCCGAGCGTTGCGCCTTAATCGACGGGTTAAGGGATACTTTACGAGCGAGCCCAGGACTATGGTGTAAGGCATCACACAGTTTGATGACACGACCTGGCGCAAGCTCTCTGCGGCCCGATAGGTCTATATCCTGGAACAAGACCTCTTGTGCACAATTGGCGAATTTCTTCGATACCAAGGCGAGTCTCGTCAGCACTTCACTCTCCCCGTCTTCCAGATATACTTCCGAGAGAATCTGCGCAAGGATCTCAGCTGGGATGTCTTCAAGAGTTCTGGCAGTTGTAGGCCTTGCCGATAGAACCAGAGCAAGGGGATAGGATGTCGACGCAATGTGATCCATGATGTGTGGTGTCGCTGTAGCACGAGCTGCGGCGAAAGAGAATGCTAGGAGGGCGGAGGGCCCCTCAGCGGGAAAACAGTGTGTGTATCCTACTGATGGTGATAGTGGGAAGGCGAGCTCGACCGTGGGCGTGGAGGCACCCTCAATGGGATTAAGTGTTGGAAGTAATTACTGCTGATGTTGTTGATGACAAGGCTTGACCCTGGAGTTGCTGGGAGGTTGAGAAACTGCTCGAGCAGAGCAATTTGTAAATATTTGAGGCGCATTCACCGCCGAGATTCTTCCTCAACTTGTTGGATTAGAACTATCACCTACAACGAGCAATGCTGGCAGCAATTAGGGTGAATCATGTATATGCATAATGTCTGCGTTCCATCAAAGTTCAGACGTCACGGCCTGAAATCCAACCCATTTTCCAGCCACCCAATGCCGGAGCCCCTGCACCTGCACGCTGATTTCGTAAACACCCATCCCCTCTCCCCTTCTATGGAGCTCCAAATTTCCCTATTAGAATCGTGCACGCCACTGTCTGAAGTTCTTCAGCAAGCTTACCTATTGATCAAAATTAGAAACTCCAGTCCTGCAAGAGCATATGGACGCACTACAGACGGCGGCAGACAAGTGCACACTGACATCTGATGTGACACTTCAGAAGGAAGACAAGTTTCACGGCCGATGGAAGCGTGACTTCTGTCTAGATTATGCGAGCAACGAAAGGAGATTCTGCCCACGTCCTCACGTCCAGACGTATCCCAAAATCGCAACATCACGAAGGCAGGAGGGACGATTACAAGAAATCCGATAAGCATGCTATACCTCGGCGAAGATGTTTCAAGATGGTCCTGCGAATCGAGTAACAAACAAACCTCAACTCACCTTGACGTTACCATGTACACTTCTCCAGACACCCACTCGCGCTCTCCTATACCCGCTCTCACGCACACCCACCGAGCGCCATCCAGCTCATCAGGGCTCTCCATTCTCGTATCCATCACCCCTCCCCCTTCTTCCCATCATCTTCATTCCTCCTCTTTCGTCCCTCACCGACTCAGCATTCTTCCATCCATTTCCTTCCTACCTGCTCTCGCTTCCAACCCGACGCTTTCTACCTCCAGGGCTACCGTTCAATCAGTCAACGTCAACGACCTCTCGATATTGATTGAATTGACACCTTAGTCAGCAGCAGAGCTCCATATTGATTGATTGATTGACGTCAACGTTGAAGTTATTGATTGACTGACCCAGTAAACGTGGAGATCCTTAGCAAAGTTATGTGCGTGGTGGTAAGGTTTCAACTCGCCTGTTTTACATAGATCCTTTATCTGCGCCATCTTCCTCAGTGCCTCTAACATTAAGCGCGTTATTGCGGCGGTATACCTAGTGGTTAGTGGTGGTGGTGGCGGCAGTAGAGGCCTAGTGTAGATTTGCAAACTCCAGCGGCCAAAACCCGCAATTGCATTCCAACTTCAACGGAACGTCAATCGTGAATCAACAGGCCGCTTGAATATTGATTGATTGAGACAAAACTTCAATCAACGGGTCAAACTCGTTGATTGGACGGTAGCCCTGCCTTCCTCCTCTTCCTCTTCCTCTCCCGTCTCCCCTCCCAGTGCCAGTCCCCTCCTCTTCCAGACCCGCCCTCTCCTCCTAACACCTCATGCCCTCTTCCCACCCCCTCCAAACCCCTAGCTCCACGCTCTCGCCCACCCCTCCCATACCTCTATCCTCCTAATACCCCACCCACCTCTCCTCGCCCACCAAGCCACAACACTAATGCCAACCCTCCATCGCACGCCCTCATCCCCCACCCCAGCAACCCCCAAAAGACCATCGAACCAAAAATTCCCACAAACCACCCTCCCCGAGAATGCTAGCCTCGACATCTCCAAAGTTTTTTCAAAAGCACGGTTCTAATCTAACAAAGGGACACGCGATGCGCAAGAATAGGGTGAAGCCGGCACGCATACGGGATATATACATAACCTCAGCCTCAACAGCAGAGGTACACCAGTTTACTTCTTCTCCGTGGGGATTAGAACCGATGGGCGCAAGGGCAGGGAAAAGAAGGAACAGGAAAAAAGGGCAGTGGCGTGTGTATGGTATACTCTTTGGAAATTTTCTACTCAACTTTCCCCCCCACCCCCCGCCTACCCTGGTCATCGTACTCGAAAGCTCGTCCGTGAGTTAGTTCCGCCCCCAAAACTCCTGCTGAATTCGCCCAAGTAGACAAGTCTACCTTTCAAGCGCTTGTTCTATCCCGCTTCATAAACCACTGCTCAACACGCTCTCTCGTCACCCGCTAACCCGCTATGCTCGAAGCCGCCAGCTACTCACTTCGTCCGATCCGGCACCACCACCGGCACCTTCTCCGGCCGGAACTCCTTGACAAACGGCAAGAACTCCGGCTGGCCGGGGATATACTTCCTCAGCACCTCCGGCACAACCATGCCCTCGGGAGTCTGGTAGTTCTCCATGATGCAGCAGAGGGTGCGCTCGGTAGCGCACAGGGTGCCGTTGAGCGCGTGGACGTACTCCTTGCGGCCACCAGTTTGCTTCTTGGGGCCGAAGCGGATCTGGTATAATGTTAGCGGGTGCGTGGGGAGGAGAGGTGGTTGTGGGAGGGAGAGGAACGGACCTCGAGTTCTCGGGTCTGGTAGTCGGTGCAGTTGCTGATCGAGACAAGTTCTTTGTATTCGCCGGTGTAGGGGAACCTTGAGCAGGGTCAGCATGGAAATGTCAGCCGTGAAATTAGGTTGGGACCAAGATGGTATTACCATGCCTCGAGATCGCGCTTGGCGCTGGCGGCGTTGTTCAGGGCACCTAGTGGCAGGATTAGTTGACAGCTCTCAAAGATGACAGGGGAAGGGGTTCAATGCGATGATTGTCTCGCTGAGCGTACCTGAGACGATCTTGACAACTCGATACGGTAGTTTCAAACTCTGGTAGAAAGCTGCACCCGTATTAGCTTGCATTTTGAGGATTTGCGACGAAAAGTGTACCTTCTGAAGTTTCGAGCATCTCCTCGTATGCCTTCCATGACTCTTCGGGCTTCGTGAACTAATCGGACTGTCAGAGCTAATGTTGCGAATACGACCAGATCCCACGGTTGGAGATCAGAAAATTGCCGGAAGGGGTCATACGAGGAACTGTTCGATCTTCTCGAACTGATGTATCCGGAAGATGCCTGAATGACTTAGTGCCCGTATCAATCTGAACTTCAGTCGGGGAAACACCAACCCCAAGCATCCTTCCCATGCGAACCGGCCTCCTTCCTGAAGTTCGTCGAGTAGCCAGCATATTTGATAGGCAGATCCTTCTCTTGTAACCACTCATCGGAATGTAGAGCGCTGATCGGTTGTTCTGAAGTCGCAATCTACACGCAATCCCAAATTAGCTACAGCTCTATTTCCCTTGTGCTACTCAAATGGCTACATACGAGGTACTTGTCAGTATCCGGCTTGTCTTTCGATTCGGTGACCTTGTAGAGCTCTTCATCAAAGTCGCTGAGCTGTGCTGTCTTCGCCATGACGTCTCGTAGCATGAAGAAGGGAGGTTGGTTCGGCGTGTAGCCGCGGTTGAAGAGGAATTCGAGGCCGTAGTTGACGAGCTGCTGCTATTAGCTTCGTGACCCAAGGGCTGGACTGCACCAAGTATTTACCGCGAGGTTAAGGAAGAGACCGTAGCCGGTCAAGCAGTATCCGCGATGGCCTGGAGTAGTCAGCATACGCCCAAGTCCTGTAACTGAGTGAGCGAAGCACCACATACCAACAATCTTCACACCCCTCTCAGGGTCGTATCCATCCAGCCTCGTGAGCACTGCCAAGTATTAGCTTTCTACCCTCCCATCCCCACCTCCAGGTTTCCCCGACTCCACTCACCTCCATGATGCGGCAGCACATCCGGATTATGCTCCACCTTTACCCCTTCCGGTGCCCACTGCTTGATCGTCTCATTATCATCCTCATTTCCGCTGATCGGCACGCTCTCATGCACATAATTCCCGACCGTCTTGACCTTCCGCAGCAGCTTCTCCAGCAGCTCGGCCGCCTCCTCTTCCTTCGCCTTCTTGTCCTCCTTCAGCTTCGCGATCTCAGCGAGCAGTTCCGTCGCGTCCTCCTTTGCTTTCTTCTTGAGGCCGATTTGCTTCTGGAGGGGGTTGATGGCGGCGCCGATTTGGGTGGACGCGTATTGGGCTATTCGAAATAGAGAGGTAAGCGTATGTTCTCAAAGAATGACCCATTGTGCCTCTTATTGGTAATGTATATATGCGAGTTGTTGACGAGGGAGGCAGGCCGTGGACTCCAGGTTCGGGGAGGTAGGTATGGTAGGATATAGAAGGGCAACGCACTCTTCCGATGCACCTCAAAGTCCTCAATGATCTCATCGACTAACTCGACGCTCGCGTGGCGCTTCTCCTGGCTCTGGCGGATCTTGGCCGCGTCGCCGCCGCGCTCCTTGATGAAGTCGTTGATGTCGAGCTATTTGTTCCACATCCACATTAGCAAACTCTCCATTCATTAAAAAAATTTGAGGCACATCGAAGAGGAAGAATAGTAGCACAGGTAAAGATATGAGGATCGGGAGCAGGGACGAGATGGAAGCGGGGAGTGTTGCAGCGGCTGGAGGGGTGAGATGGGGACTTTGCGGGGCAAACGCACCATGATCGCGACTCTAGAGTATTTCGTAGGTGAGGTTTACGGTATAGCAAAATAATAGAGGTCAATTGTCGTGTGCGTCGTCTTCACGCGCTCACGGTGGTGGTGGGATGTTGCCCGCATTTCTTTCTGAGTCAAGATGGTGGGGTCTTTGTGCACGGGCCGCATAACTTTATGCCTTGCATATATCAGCCGCAAACACTTCCTCAAAGTCAATTGATATTGCAAGTGCGATTTGCACGAGGGCGTTGAGGCAAGATGGCAGTGATGACATCGTGTTCATTCCGCATAACGCGTCAAGCACCTAATATAGTACGCCCCCAGAAAGCGGGAAAGCAGGAGTAAATGAAGCCACCCATCCTCTAATCTATACCATCGCATCGCATCGTTCATCGTAGCATCAGAGCTCAGACCCCCACCCATCCTGCTTGAACGTGATGAAGAAAGGAAAGGCACCCACTATGGCAACAAATGAAAGGAGATCTAGGACATGTGAGAGTTGGGAGAAAAAGATGGCGAAAGTCACCAAGAACCAGCCGTTACATGAAACGAAGTAGAATTAAAGAAAGAGGAACATGCCATTGACAGAGCGCCAGCCCTACTGGGGGATCTCATACAGTGCTAGAAGAGTCCACACCACTCCCAAACGCCGAAGGAAGTCTACCAAGACAACCATCGAAATAGTATCAGACATTCAATTGGTCCAGCCGCCAGTCCCATGAGGTGTCTAGAGACACTGTAACACCCCTAGTATTCACAGCACACGTTTTTTCCCGTGGTGAAGGCTGGGCGTCTTCCCATCACTTTCTGAGCTTCTGCTTGATCTTGCTGAGCAAACCTAGACACATTTAGCAGGTGCGTACAGATCACATGACAACGCAATTCTTGCCGCTCGCAGGCTCGTTCGGGGTGGTCCCCTTCTCGATCTCGGCGATCATGAGCTCGAACGCTTTGCTGACGTTTTCGTTGTAACACGCGGACGCTTCGGTCCATGCGCATTTCAACTCTTCGGCCTTTGCTTTGCCCTCTTCGGACGTGACTTGGCGTTGTTCGGGGCGGAGATCAGATTTGTTGCCTACGAGGACAAGGGGAATGGTTTCGGCGCCCTGGGAATGTTAGCTCTGACTTTGTCCTAACGCCGTCCGAGGTGACCCAGCGCGTTTTAGATTGTTCAGAGGGGAAAAACTTACGAGATGATTCAGAATCTTCTCACGAATGATCTCTGCGGTATCGAAAGACGTCCTGCTCTGCACGGAATAGACAATCATGTATCCATGAACTCCAATGAAATGCTTCGAGTTCAAGTTGCTGTACTGATCCTGTAATGACACGGGTGAGCTGCGATATTCCAAAGTGCAGCATGGACGGGAGTTGCGCAAGGTAAGGCTGAGACGTGATAGAGGCCGACAAGGAAAGCGGTATAGCGCCAGAGGCAAAGACGGGACACGGAGATCCTGTGAATGCATAGAGTCTATACCTTTTCTTCTTCTGCCTCCTGAAGTTGGATTGCAAACAACCGATCAGGGTCGTTCTGATCATGTCTCAGCCCAGCTCCACAACCCTGCCGCCGCCACATGTCCCGCGGTTATGGATATGCACATACCTGGCCGGCGGTATCGATAATCTCGGTCGCATAATCCTGGCCCTTGTAGCGAATGACCTTGCTAAAGGTATTCTCAATGGTGGGGTAATAAGATTCGACGAAGTGGTTGTCCACGAACTGGACGGTGAGGGAGGATTTGCCTGTGGGGTGATGTCGACGTTAGCTTGGGAATCGAATGAGACTGGAGCTGGGAATTGGTGAAGGTGCTACGACGCATTGGAGGGCACGTCTTCCATGAAAGCGAGGTGCAATTAGACTAGAGCTGCACACGTACCAACGGACCTGCTGCCCACGACGGCGATCTTGCGCTGTTTCGCTGGAGGAGGCATGTTGGGCGTGTGGGGGAGCGAGAGGCTGCGAGAAGGCGGAAACGGGGCGAGGCTGAGTCGAGAAGCTCAGAGCTCGTGTAGCTGGCAAGAAGGCGAAAGGAAGCGCAGCGGGCTGTGTTTCGATAGGGGATGTCGACTATGGTTGACCGCTACTGTCGTCGTCGGTGCTTCGCAGCTGCTGCCTGGCGCGTGAAGGGTCCTGTGCACGGCGGCCACGATGTATTGCTGGCACGGATCAGGTTTTTGGATTCAGGCACGAAGAATGGGTTGAATAATGCGACCCGAGTTGCGGCGGTCGTGATGGTGGTCGCTGGTGGTGTTGAGGTGGTGCTCGAAGCTGCCGTCTGGAAGCGCTAGGAGGTAGTTAGAAGAAATGTCGATCTCACACAAAGCAAGCTCTAGGGACGCCCTTCTCGTGGGCAGCAACACACACCAGAGCCAATTCAGGCCCAGGCAGCGTCACCGTCAGACACACCAGCCGGCGGGTGGTTGGACGCCGGAATTCGCATCAGGTAATCGAATGGCCCCGTTTGCCCCCTTTCTTCACCTCGCCGTTCACCTGTCGCTCTGCTGCATCCTCGCCCGAGCTGCCCGAACTTCCACGGCCGCTTTCTTTGGGGATGCGCAGGACGACCTTCCAGGCCCGCGGGAAAAAGAAATATATCCATCGCGGCCCGGCGCCGTGGTTTCCCCCTGCAAGTGGCCTGCGGGGCGCCTGATCTGTCGCTGAGGCCAGCCAGTCCATCGCCCACCATGTCGTCTGCACTCAATTCTGCGGGAGACTCCGGGGAAGTCGGGTCGAGACGCGAAGTTTGGCGTTACACCGCGCTCAAATCGACGTCTGAGGAGCCACGGGGGACGCTTGCAGCCTTACACCCCTCATCGAACCGTCTCTGCCGTCGTTTCTAGCCGGATTATGCCTGTCGGCGCCTTGGCCTTTCTGAACGCACGCGAAATGCAAGACAGTACTCCATCTACAGAATCCGTCAATGAAGGTTTCATCTCATGAAAAATTATCGAATTGACCTCGCATCTTCATCCAATCATGAACGACCGAGGACGTAGGCTACAAGGCGGGGCGACGGCCCTGGAGCCTCAGGTTGTGGCGTGCGGCGCAGCTCACGCCTCACCCGCCCTCCGTCCACATCTAAGAACCATCTTCTCTCTCTTCAGCCCCTCGTGTCGTGTGCTCCTCGTCAACCTTCTTCTCTAATTCTGAGGCGCTATCTACCGAGTCCCCAGAACGATTAAGCACCCGGACTCATGAAACTATTGTCTCCATCGCGTAGATCCTCGAACGCTGCCCTGCCTCCAACATCCAAGGAGCGAGCGAGTTCCGCGCCCATTGAGGGCCCATGCATAGGCCCTACGTCTAGCGCAGCTACGGCCACGGCGCAGGTACTGGGACGGAAGAAAGCCGGATTACTGCTAACACGTACGCTAGGACCCTCCACAACTCAACCTCCTCTCCTTTCCTCCGCCTTCCACCCGAGATTAGAAACACGATATACGAATACGCCATAGGCGGCAATGTGATTGGTGTATACGTGTCGACCCTTGGAAATCTCCGTATAGCGTACAGTAAGGGAATTCCCTGTATTGCGGGAACTCCCCGTATAGCGCACAGCATTTCTCCCATTCGGCCGACCAGCGGCACTGAGAAGACGGAGAACGGGCCCTCGCAGGTATCTTATCCTCGAGATGCAATTTGGCCTGTTAGACCCACCAAACTACGATCTAAAGGCGAGATAAATCTTCTAAATTGAATGCGCCAGGAGACCAGGAATAATTCTGCTCCAAGTGCCCCGAGTGAGCACCATATCAAACACATAGATCTTCGATTGCTGCGAGTCTGCCGGCAAATATACCACGAAGCGCGCTTGCTATTATATTCCTCTAATATTTTCTATTTCGAATTTGGCCTAACTCTCGAGATGTTCGTATTGAAAACTCTCAGTTTGGCGCAGGCGCAAGCTATCGAGCATATAAACCACATCTTCGCTAAAACCATGCAAGGGAATGGATCAAATTACTGGCATTCTGCCTTCACCCCCACGGTTGTTGACGCCCTCTCCGGCGTCCAATCCGTATCATTGTTCCTGCAAGTACGCGGATGGCTAGCTTCTGGCTTTCGCCATGACTTCTGGGACCTCAACTCGACGCCCGTTGGGCGTTCCCCAGCATGGAACGACCACATTCAAGTGTATGGGCTTACACGCCTCCGCCTCTTGCCTAAACTTCGTCATGTCAACGTAGCTCTTTATTCACGCCCTGATGCGGTCTTCGACGGCTTGAGCAGACCAGGGTGGATCCATGAGCCAGTAGCCGATAATGACCGAGAAATCTACGTGCGGTCACTTCAAGAGTTGCTTTGCGCCCCTTGGGACGATGCTTCACAGAGGTCCTATGAAGAATCTGAGATGAAGGAACTTCCATGGCGCATTTCTTGGCAGCAGATGATGAGACACAAGAGACCTTTCCAAAGGAAGAGGTCAAACATAAGTACGATTTCCTTTGAATGTCTAAAGCCCCGGTAGATTGAATCGTCAGCCCAGTGTAATTTTGTAAATTCTTCCTAACTTTGGTCATGTCTCACCTATTGGTCACTTTACCAAGGTGGTGCTTGAGGCCAATGGCCTTTTACTGTACTCCCAAGGCCCACGACCTTACCCGCTCGCATTGAGTCTTCGATTGGCCGGATTGATGTCACATCTATCAAGTCTAGACTCCAAGCATATGCGTATAGCCAACGTGCGAATCAGCATCCAGCGCTGCATTCCCTAAGAACGACATTCGCCTAGCGCCTGTTGATGTGGGACAAGCTCACGAGATCTAGCGTCCGTTCTGGGTTCTCGACTGCCATGTTCCCGCCAGACCCCCCGCCCAACCCGCGGGGGTTGTTTCTTTCACACCGCGATTCCCTCTCTCTCTCCAACCCCCAGCTTCTTCATCGACCGACACGCACGCTATTCCACAGACCACGTGCTACGATCCTTCTCGCCCAGCCTAGCCACCACATCAAGAACTAGAAACGTGGTGTGCGGCCTTTGTTATCGGCGGCCGTATCCCTCACCCCCGTTCCACCCCAGCCTCGCGCCAAGCCGCCTCCTCCGTCCCGAACCGCGCCCTCAAAAAAGAGAAAGCCACCACACATAGAAACGTACACGGCGGGCGCCCAACTGCCCTAGCCACGCTTCTGATGCGACTCCGCCACCGTCTCACGTCTCGTATTCAAGCGCCACTCTTCCCATATGCACCCGGTGATGCTCCGACCTCTGGCTGGACCCGGCGCCGGCCAGGATTGCCAGCCCCGCTGCGTTTTGGCCGCGAATGGCAAGGACATGGATGGCGAGAGGTGCCGCAAAGGCGGCGGAACGTGTTGGCAGACAGTCGGGCCCGCTGTTTAGTGGGCTGTCTTGTCCTGCGACTGCGAACGCGCGAGGGTGCAGGGCGCGCCGCGGATGCGCGGGAGGGAGAGCGTGGGCGGGCTGGGGAGGGCTTTGGAGAGGCGGGCGGCGTTCGAGCCGAAGGTAAAGACTGAGGCGGCGGCAAGCTGCTCGAGCGAGGCGATGCGGAAGCCAACGCCTGATGTGCCGCCGGAGATGGGGATGAGCTTGTTGGTAAGCTCGGAAGTGTGTTTAGGTTAGGACATTGGTATTGAGATGGTTATGATCCTCTCTAATAGGCGTAGGAGGCTTTGTGCAGAGGTGGTAGACGGGATAGGTTAGTGGAAATTGGGAGTATTGGGTTGATTTGGAGCCTTTGTGAGATCATTAAGATGGTAGATGTGTTGAAATCAAAGCTGGAATACTGCAAGCTTTTTATACGCCATACTCATTGGTGCAACGTCGATATATCCGCTATATTGGGCTCTAGGCTTTGACAAGGGGCAGCGGGCGGGCCACTCGTGCATTAGTGGTGCCGCTTCACCGCCACTATGTCTTGTTTGGGAAGTAAGTCATGTGATTCTAGAGCTTCGCGACTTGGGTAATTATCCTTGAAGGAGAACTTGATAACACTAAGGTCCATCCCTGAGTGGCGAGAAACCCCGCGTGGCGAGGAAATCAATAGATACATTGACTTCAAGCAACTCAGTCTCTATGCACACATTAATATTTCCCACAGTTCTATATAAGTGGTTTGCTGTGGCCACTCCTAAACACTCGGGACCCCTCCCACTAGAAAATTACGGTCGCATTGTCGCCTTTGCGCCTAATTTGCGGAGAGCATCCTTTCATGGCGTAATAGAATTCCTTCATCACAGCACTACTATCAAGCTCTTATTACTTCTAATGCTTATAGAAGGGCCTTATCTGAGCCTCAGAGCCTCACTACTATAGAAGTGGCGACCGGCTCGTGCACGCTACCACCTCGTGCACGGTTTCCCCGTGCATGCATCACGAACTTCAAAAACATATACATTCACTCATATTACTCAGAACCTCATAGAAATCAAGGCGGAGACTAAACCGAAGACGCTCTTTCATTCTATCATAATCACAGAGTCATCGTACCTCTTAGGCGTATTCCGGATACGCTGAGGCCGGCCAGAGGTTGATTTCACTACCCCCTCCTCTACCTCATGATTCTGCTGGCCTGTAGGCTCCTCAGGAATAGTGAATACAACCTGGCGAGCCTTCTGCCTCTGCTGTATTACCTTCCTCTCATCTTTAAGCTGCTTCTCTGCATCACGTGCCTCACGTGCTTCCTGTGCCTTGCGCTTCTTGAGATCCTCAGCATCCTTCTGTTCTCTCTGCTTAGCAGCTTTAGCAGAGCGATTGAACTCAGCTATTCTTTCCTTCTCTTCCTTAGCAAGTTGCTTCTGTACCTTCTCCTCAGCCTTTAAAGCTGTATCACGAGCCTTGGCATCCTCTTTCTCTTGGTATAGCTCTCGAGCCTGCCGCACCTTATTGGGTGAATAGACTGCCGCTTTTCTATTATTATCTTCAGCCAGAATCTAAAAGAGGTTCTTCTGCCGCTTCCTCTTCTTCTGCTCTATCTTGAATGCTTCTTGGTAGCCTCGAATTTGACTTTAAAGAAGTATATTAGTTGCCATCAGTTGGTGAATATCTTTGGTCAAAGCTTGTACTTCTTTTTGGAGGCTGGACTGTATAGCAACTTCTACCACCTGTTTTAGGCGTGTTTCTATTCGCTTCCAGTCACCAGCCGTAAGAGCCGACCCAGTAGAGTTGCTTAATAATGGCCTTTCTTCATCTTTATCCTCTTCCTTCTCTTTCTTGGCATTAAATTGATCTAATATAACCTCCGGGTTCCATGGGTGAATACCCGTCTTTCTCTATCTACTAGCTATATTAGAAGGAGTCATAGCCTTCTTCCATGCCACCCAAAAGGTCCTGAAGAAGTCTCTCTTTGTGAAGCGGGAGAATCCTTCACTATTCATCATAAACCGGTTCAATTCATTGGAATAGTAAATGGCCAAGGGGGCGAAGAGAGAGACGTCTAATGGCTGCAGGCGGTGTATTAAATGAGGCGGGTATACAGCCAGGAGAATCCTGTTGCTGATGCAGTAGTCAATAAACTTCATATTCACATAAGAGCCGTGGTCATTAATAAGTAACATCCTCTACTCCTTGTTGGCTTTGGCCTTTGTCTCTCAATCAAAGATCTTCAACCAAGCAAGGCCTAGGTTGTTGTTGGTCCATCCGGTTGGTGTTGATGTGAAGAAGCAGGCATATTCGTCCGGATCAAAATCCTTAAGCCATGTATCCTGTACATTGTTTGTTCCAGCTTGATAGATAAGTGTCGGAGGAAGTGCCGTATTGTCTGCACAGATGGCTGCCACCACAGTAATCCACTCTCTATTGCCATCTTGTATGACATGGCGCATCCTTCCTAACTTGTAGGCAAGCTTGCTGAAGATTCTCTTCTTCTTAACCAATTTTCCAATAAGAAATCCTTTCTCATCTATATTATATATATTTCCTAGCTGGATGTTATATTAATCTCTTTTGCGACCAAGAAGCTTAAAGTAGAGGCTGTAGTAGAGGGCAGAATCAGCCCTTTTCCGTTCCTTATCAATAGGAAGAAGGTAGGCTGATTTGAGGTGTTTGGAATTCGAATGGACCCAGCGTGAAACCCAGTGGATTCCTGGCATTCTCCCAGCCAAATCCTGGGCGAGATTTCGTATCATTTGATGCGTAGGAGGCAAGCCTCTTTCGGAGAGGTTGTTGATGTATTTGATGAGAGCCTTAGTCTTGCCAGGAGAGAGGAGCTTTTGAGAATTGTAGGCCTCAGCCTTTGACTTCGTGATTCCTCGGTACCTCCGTGAGAGCGTGGTTCTGTCAATCCCATGCTTCTTTGCGACCTCAGTATACATCTTCTTCTCCATCAAATCTAGCTCCGCGAACGCAGCTTCCATTGCATCCATTTTCGAAGGAAATCTGTGTATTTTTGGTGGAGTTGTGCGGTGTTGAAGCTTGAGAGAAAAAGCGGTGAGGGGCCTCCGAGACCGTGCATGAGGTGGTAGCGTGCACGAGCCGGTCGCCACTTCTAATGGGAAGTTGTTATTAGCCTTGTAGCTGCTATCGCACGCAAATTCGTTTAAAGTCGCCACGCCGATCGATACCTCCAACCGAAGCAATCTGCAATCCCGGCTATTGCGAAACAGCCTATATAATCATTACTGTGTAAATTGCTTCCAGTGGCTGCTACCTGTGGCTGTGCGCAGTCTTGGCAAGCGGGCCGACTTCAGCCATGCAGCCTTGCGATCCAACTCAACCTTTGCCATGCCTCCCGTCAACCAACTCAACTCTCTGAAACACCTAAGAATTCGCCACCTCACAAGGTCAGGGCTGGTGCGGCTCGCAGGGTGGGAAAGAAGTGGCACACCAAAACAATGCGAGATGCCGGATCCCCATCCGGAACCCCCGAATTATTCCCCTTTTTCATCACAACACAAGGAGAACAGCATCCTACACGTTCAATTCACCCATCATCATGTCCAGCAAGTGTCCGGTCACACCCAGGAAGCGTCCACTCGAGCCTGAGAAGCACAACGAGACACCCACACGCAGTCACATCAAGGCAGTAATAGCACTCAATGACTGGGCAGGTGTCCAGTCCAACAAGGCAGATGTATTCAGATTCTTTGGAGAATCACAGCGCAGTGGCTGGAGGCATCTATGCCAGCCTGATAGGACCATTTACAACCAAGAAGGGCCTGATCCAAGAGGCAGAAAGCCTATCCTAACACGGGAAGAACTTGAGAAAGATGGAGGAAGTTATTAACAGTATGGATGAGGCCAAATCAAAGGCCCTTACCTGGCAACAGCTCAGGCAGAAGGCAGGCATTGATAAGAAGATTCACTGGATCACCATCCGACAATATATGCAATCCCTGGACTTCGCCAAATGCATTGCCTGCACTAAGACCTGGATGGCCCCCCATACCCGAACAGCGCGCATCGACTGGTGCACAGAGATGCTGGCAAAGTGACACACCTGGGAGATGTGGAAGGATGTACGATGGAGCGATAAAGTCCATTTTGGACTGGGCCCCCAGAGGAAGCTTATAATAATCCGGAGGAAAGGCACAAGATACTGCCCTGAATGTATTCAAGACCAAAAGGAGCCTCCCACTAAGCAGTACAGAGATGAGAAGCGCATTCATGCATGGGCTATGGTTGGATAGAACTATATCAGCCCATTAATATAGTATACAACCAACAACAAGAATAGGAAGATATTACAGAAGGTGTATATTGAGCAGATCCTGGAGTCATTTAACTCAGGTTGAAATTGATGTGAACTCTGATTTCTATGGGTGTCTAGCTCGTTGTTTATATACTAGGGGAAGGAGGGGGGCCAGCCCCGGGGGCATAACGTGGTATCTCTTCCTGATGCGTTACTTGATTCATCCTGTTTCCTGATACAGTACTGATACCGTGCTGCAGCACTGCTGTTGCACTACCTGTTACTTCCTCCTGTATCAGTATGCTATCCTGATGCGTTACTGCATATGAGTTGCTGACCCTAGGTTGTAGTGCTGCAACCCGAGTATTTATCAAGCCTATGCTCCTTGACAAGACTGTCCCTCGGTTTGTCCTAGAGGAGGATGGGGATTCAGGGCATGGCATTCAATCAGTAAATAGCAAGGCTGCCAAGTGGAAGAGGGAGAATGGGCTGGATACCTTCTTCAATGCTGCCCATTCACCAGACCTCTCAATTATTAAGAATTGCTGGCAGCCACTTAAGCAGCACCTGGGAAAGGAGGACTATTTTGACAAGAACATAATAATAAGCGATGCGGACAACCTCTGGGCACAGCATGTAACTAAGAGCTTTGTAAATAGCCGTGTGATGAGCTTTATACAGCGTTTTGATGACTGCCTAGATAAGAAGGGCAGGGGGACTGGGTGGTGACCCCAAAACACCAATGAATTATGAAAAAAAGTCACATCTGCATACACTTGTGATGCCTTGTAATCGAATGCAATTTGAACTGTGCCATTTGGGCTTGATTTGGCTGTGAAATCGTGTTTTGCGGCATTTCGCTTGTTTTTGGTGTGCCACTTTTTCCCCACTCCGCGTGTGCGGGTCGGCCGTCCTCCCTGCCAGAATTCGTCGGAGGCGTTCGTCTGCTTCTGACAAGGCCTAGGTGGTAAGCCTTTTAACACATGCTTCTATGTAGAACGTTCTCGAAGCTGCACTGTGGCAAATAGGCTGGGTATATATTTACGTTAATCTCCGGCCCTCTATGAAATAGGGAGAATAAATACATATAGGACAGCAATGTTGATATATATGTTCTGATGTCTTAGGACGTACTCAACTCGACTTTGCAAATCCACACCCTTCCTGTTCCAACACCAATACTAACTATATTCCCTGACATCGCTGAGCATGACGGCCGATACTCTGAAGGTAGCCACATTAAATTCTCTGAGTTGTATATTATCCACACACGATCCGCGCTTAAAGCTAGGCCATGACATTGAGGACTCTGAGGTTCTGAATGGGATAGAAGCGGACTTGAACCTAGTGGAACACAAATCTCGATAGTGCCAATATCTGTGTGAAGATACGTACCAGAGATGTCAAATGAGATGCGTTGAAGTGGCTTGCCAATACTGAGCGTCTGGGGGCATTCGCCGCTGCTCGCGTCCCAGACCTTGACCATGTTGTCCGACGACGCCGATGCGAGCCGCGTCGAGTCCGGCGAGAAGGCGACCGAGTGGACGGAACGGCTATGCCACTTGAGCGTCTACCTTGCCCCTTTCTGCAGCAACAACCTTCTGACCTCATCCGTCTTGGCCATGCTCAGCGGCGTTTTTCCCGTGTCCGACACGGCATTCACGTTGGCGTCGTATGACAGCAGCAGCTGCACGACGTTCGCGTGGCCATTGTTGGCCGCCCAGTGCAGCGCAGTCCACCGATACCGGGTGCACATCGAAGCGTCGGCACCCCGTTCCAGCAGGCTTTTTGTCTCCTCGTACCGCCCGCCCGCCGCCGCGCCGTAGAGCGGGAACTCACCGCGGGAGTCCAGTACGTTGAGGCTAGGGTTCAGTATCCGCTGTCGTTGTGAGCTAGAGCTTGGTGGCGCAGGGGGATGCCGGCGCAGGTCGTCTAGCTGCCGCACTAGGTCGGCCCGGTCCGTCTCGGATTTGCGGAGTTTGGCGTCCAGGTCTCGACGCTCGGTGTCCAATTGCTGCCGGAGATTGCTGGCCTCGGACGCATGTCTGGTTTTCTGCTGCTCTAGCTGGGTCTTCAGTTGCTGGACTTGCTCTTCAGCCCGTTCGAGCTTGTTCTTTAGGACTTTTGCCTCGTTGGCCCTTTTCTCTAACTCCAAGTTCTGTGAGTCGATAGTGTTCTTCAAGGCGTCAATCTCATCCTTGAGACTTGCCAGTTCCTTATCTTTCTCCTCGACGATGCTCTGGAGCTGTTCAGGCGTGGGTTTTGACGATTCTGCAGCAGGGTTTTGATCTTCTGGGGCCGATTTCTTGATCTTGTTGATGAGTTCTTGGAGGATGCTAAGATAGATACTCTCCGCCTCATCGTCTCTGGAATCTTCGACTCGGCGGACGGCGACAGTGGGATGCAAGGCTGAATAGACGGCCTTCAGCTCAGCTTCGGTACGGACCCCCTGAGCGGTTGATGGGAGCATGTCCCAGAGGGTAGTCACTATCATGATGTTCTCCTGGAATGCCGGGCTGAGCAGCTTTTCGAATGTTGCCAGATTCTTTTTTGCGGTCTCGCTTGTACTCCCTTCCGTGATGTCGTGAAGGTAAATCAAGCCGTGAACTGTATTGTGGCTTTGGCCTAGTTCGCGCTCTAGGGCTTTATTCGCGGTATTGAGCAACTCGACATCCGAGTCCACCGACTGTGGAGTGTCTATCAGCCATACTTGTTCCCCGTTGACAATACCCTTGACGACAGAGGCCGCTGGGGAGGTGCAATCATCACCGTTTCCAGCCGCCAGAGGTGTTTCGGTAACAGCTTCGAGGAAGAGACTGCGTTCCGATCCTCCAAGTCCCATCAAGGCAACAACGGTAGGGTTTGTCGGGCCTTCAAAATGCCTAAACTTTTATTAGTCATCACGTATACAGCAGCGCTCCTTAGTGGAACTGGTGATTTACATTGTGGAGATTAACAAAAAAAATATTGATTAGGTGTACCGAAGGTGTTGGGTTATCGATGACTGCGAGAAGAGTGTCGGGTAATGTGATTCTCACTCCCTTCAAGGCTATGCTCCAAGCCGGGAATGTGATGAGGCTCCAGCGCGTACCTCCTGACCATCATCTACTAGTCTCGAGCAGCCGATGATCGATACTCCGTGAAGCCGCTTAGAAATTAGTCGAATCTGACGAAGTTATTCCTGACTGAGTCGCGTACTAATGGCACTGCCCGACTAGGTGCGTTGCATCTCAACAGTCTGCAAGTAGAAATATTTGGACAATATTCACGCTCGCAGCATGTATTGATGCCCTCTAACACGAATTACCAACACATCAGCCGACCACTCTAGCATTCCCTCGCTATGGCCTGGTGATGACAAATACGAGCTTTCAGCAACGCCAGAAGTTACACAGCGCTTCGCTCACGCGGCTCCGCCCAATCAATCCCCGCGCTCTCAACAGGGGTCTCCCGGATGATCCACCTGACAAACTTCTGCCTTGTGGGTGTGAAATCAGCCTAGTTACCCAGTGTCTTTACGAAGCACCAGACGGGCTATGGGCCATGATCCAATCTGCTCTACGGTTGAACTACAGGGTCGCGTAAGCAATAATCAAGGCCCACTTTTTCATAACTCACATTTGCGAAAATGGCTCCTGCAAGCCGGTTGATTGGCTGCGCGGAGATAGGTCAGTGGTGCTACGGTCTTAAAGGGGAAGGGGCATATGTACCTCGACGTATTCTCCCAAGGCATCGTCAGGGTCTGCAGTCGAGTTTACATCCAGATCTGGATTAGAGAAGTGAGCGTTTCGCTAAATTTCAGCAAGGGGGTAATGTTGCTCAAACGGTCAAAAGAATAGCGCGCTAGATAGCTTGGTTTCAACCACTTACATGCCGTGCAATGACAAATGCCCTTCAGCTCGTCGTCTTTGGACAGCCTATCGACGAACGCCTTTGCCGCTGGGCTGCCCCCGACACGAGAGATTTGGAACACCACGTCTTGGAGTCGGTTAGCTCCTACCATGGCATTGAGGAAGGCGTGGATGGGGTCACGAACGTTTATCTCCCAGGTTTGTACGGTCAATGAGCTCCCTCTTGCAATCTTTCATTTCGCTTTGCAGTTTGGTGGATTTCTCTCCTTCTGGCTAGCAAAGGACTGGTAGTTAGCAGCTGTGCCGGGATGACAGAATCTGGTTTTGCATGGGGAATTAATTCCCCTCCCTCAGAGCACTCACCTTTCCATCTGTAATGATGCTGACAAGAAGCGGTCGTGGCCTCTCTGTTCGAGCAACATCATATATGCGACTCTGGAGAATCTTTCCCCTCAGCGTTGTTCCTAGTCTAGTAGTTTCGACCGTCAACTCGTTCTCTGGATGGAAAACGCGTTCAAGCTCTTGTTGTACTTGTTCCAGATTTTCAACTACCATCGTTGGGACTTTTTGTCCCAGAAACTCCATTCTCACGTCTCTCGTATTTTTCAGAATCGACTCGACCTGGACGATCGTGCTGCAGACGGATGTCATCTGCTGTACGCGCTCCCCGTTTTCGGATATGATCATGGATTCGCTGTTATCTACCAAGAGGCCTCAGAACACGATTTGTGGACAGGAAGTGCTGGAAGCCCAGCAGAAGTCATGCTTACCGAGTAGAAGTATGCAATCATACAAACTTAGGAGGCACAGCATGTCGATCGTATCCCCTCCTGCCTCGTCGACATTTTCTAGCTCGGCTATCCACTTGTCGACCTCCTTTGCCAGGACTTGGAGTTCAGCGTCTTCGTAGAAATTGGCTAGATGGTCTTTGTTGAACCTGACAAACCCTCCGTAGGCGATATACTGCGAGAAACATCAGGATCAGTATATTTTGGTGCGGTGGAATCTCATGCGCGGATACATTTTCCCAATGGGGCTCTCTAACTTACCTGGTTCCTGGAAGTAAATCCCAGATTCTTCGCTCCAGTTGGAAGGCTGTTAGCCTGCGCTCGCTGCCTTGCCTGCGAAGCCGACGACGGTGTACTTGAATTTGCAGCTCGTGCATTTTGCGGCGGATTGGTTGACTGTTGTTGTCGTTGTTGGTTTTGTGGCGGCTGACGGTCCCCGGCCGGAGCCTGTGGGCCAAACTTGAAACCATTGCTACGGGACGTATCTTCTTCGTTGGGGTCTTTGTCCACAAAGTTGGCGTTCTTGTTCTCGTAAATGGTGATGCTCGAATTATTGGTAGGCAATTTTATCGTGGCAACTTTGTTCACGTTTTCCAAAGGGAGCTGGCCGCGGTTTTCGCCCTCCGCGACGCGGATGTTCATGTACTGTGCTGGTATGATAACATACGACGTATCTTCCCTGTAATCGACGGCCGCAACTACCATCTGGTCGTCGTCAAACTTCTGCGCAATACCGACGACATATTTCCGTTCATCTTCTCTCTCGAGGTGCCCCCCGGAGCACTCGATGGTGAAAGCGCCTTCTTGATCACAGACCCTATCAGACACCACGGTCAGTTGGGCTGCATTGTCCGGGAACTCGGCCATAATAATGTCGCCATCCTTTTTTCTAGATGCGAGTTTGATGGGCTTTTCGGAAACCTGAGTTGTGTGGATAGTCTTCTTCTTCTTCTTCTTCGAGTCGGGGTCGCGAGTGCCAATGAAGGCATAGTATTCTTTGTGATAGGTGAAAGTCCCGTGGCCGTTTTCGCGGAGTTTGCCGGTGTTGTAGCATACCGGAAGGTAAACGTCAGGCGCGTTCGAGATGCTGGGCTTCTCTGCACAGACTATGTACCCTCGAGGCTGGTTGCTTGAGAACCGGTTTACCACATTAACCTTATAAGAAAGTGATTGCGGAGCCATGGAGGTGTAAGATGTTGCCCAAGAACTTTCCCCGTGAGTTCAGAGAAATGTGCACTCTGGTACTCTGCCAAAAGAAAAAAAGAGGGGCATACGGGAGCACGTGAGACTGTCAGAACTTTAGAAGGTCCTGCTGAGCTGGCGCCGTGTGAGCATGCAGTGCCCAGGATTCGAGACAGGGGGGCCTTCACCGGTGGGTGGGGCAAGAAACCGCATGATCAGTAGTCCCTCGTTCCTTCCCACTCCCTGTGTCCCACTATCCTTCGCTCCGTCGCTTCCCCCTGTGCTACTCAACTCCTTCATCTTGCCTCACCAGCATACATTAGTTGCCCTAGTCTCCAACGCCAGCTCAGAAGTAATATCCATCCCCATCCAACTTCACCAAACAATCACGTTAATTTACTCACTTAGGCTATCCAGCCCATTTTCAAAATGTCTTCATACACCATCATCATTGAGAACAAGAACACCGCGACGGGCCCTCCCAAGGTCTACAATATCTACACTGAAATGCCTGGGATTAGTGGCGATACCGGATTGCAGAGCATGTTCTCCGTTGCCTGGTACAAGTCTCTCGGAATCCCGCGTGGGGGTCGTGACAGTGAGCTGCCTCTACATTCCTAAATTCCCTGGCCTGGCAATGTCTCATGGATAATTTTCTCCCCTAAGACATGATCAGGCGAGTCCTGATTACTCGATTTTACTTCAGAGCTTTTTTCTGACTCTGAGTGCAATACGGTAGCCTTCCGATTCACTACCAATGTGTACGCCTTCGTCGGCAGCTCCTCCGAGTACAGCACGCAGCTGGCGGCGGGCCACGCCATCAACATCATCAACAGTGCGGTGGCCAAGGTCGACCCACGTAGGCAGAAAGGCTCGCAGTTCCTACTAACTAAGGACTTCGATATCAATGACAGCAAGGAGGACCGTGCTAAGGCCGGTGCCTTCGACTTCTCCGTCGAATCGGCCTTTGACGAACCCAACAAGTACGTTGTCGGTGTCGCCCGCGAACAGGTTGGCGGGCAGTTGACCCCCGTCGCCGTTGTTGACCTCAAGTCCTCGGCCGATTATGTCTTCGAGCCTAAGCCTAAAGTCTACGTTAGTTGCACCAGCGTCGACCGGGGCGAGGTTTTCACACCACCTACCACCGCGGGCCAGTTCGCCGAGATCGAATACAAGGACGGCCGCAAGACGGCCTTGGTGACGGAGTCGGCCGGTGCATTCAGCATCGCGTATATCTGATTGAAAAAATGCCCTCACATGTGAGACGCTGGCACTTGTCTGGTCTGCCTGCATCGTCTTTGCTTTGAAAGGCTATTCTGCGATGATGAGACACCAAATCGACAATTGTTGTTATGATGGAGTTGGACGGAGAACAGGGTTCCGCTCGTTCCAGTTAGATGGGCCATAGCTCTTAAAAATCACATTGCTACATTGATTTGCTAAATTACCGTTTGTGACACACTTTGTACGAAGTAGGATGTCATTGTTATCAGTAATTGTCTCGCTACCGAAATGAGGGGGGTTGATATTGGCGCTTTCGTCTTCGAGCGGTACTTTTCCGAGCTGATGGGCTTATGCCTGAATAGCGATGGGGCTGGAATACATTGGTTCTTCAGTGATAAAAGTATTGTGGTGAGGCCTGGCGACTTCGTTAAATGGGCCCCGCTCTTGTTCGTCCATATCATGGACCTTAAAGGATGACCTTCCTTAGATCTGTTCTTTAGGAGTGCCTGGCAATCACTGGGTAGGCCTTTTAGGCGCCGGGCCATGCTGATGGTGGCTCGGCCAACGCCAGGCGAGCGTGTTACGCCACCTCGACACGTCAGCTTCCCGACGCAGTCCGCTGGTTCTACGTCGTTCCTGAAGGGCGGTAGAACAAATCCGGTGTGCATGTCTGAAGCTCCTGTATCTAGTTGAGTTGCGATTCTTTGTTGGCTAGAGACAATATGTGAGTTCCAGGGCCCTGGCCCATACGTCTTGTGGATATACACTGAACAAAGATTCTAGGGTGCCGCCAGATACCTCCTCTGCGTTGCCTACCCCCACCATACTCGCAATTTTAGGAGTCGAAGGACTCGAGCGAGACCTTTTCATCGAAGAAGTAACCGGCATTGACCTCGCTGGCAGAGATACGGCCGATGGCGGCTCCACGGCTCGCGTGTTCAAGGGCAAGGCCGATGGCAGAGATTTGTGGCTCGTGGATTGTCCGTCCTTGTCGATGGCTGACGCGGGGTTCACGAATGCCGTCCAGGCGGCTCTCGCCAAAGAATCTACACCAGCGCAGCGCACAATCGGAGGAGTGATCTACCTTCATGATATTACGGATAAAAAGGCCAAAGAATACGCGACTAGGAACCTATCTCTCTTCAAAAAGCTGCTGGGGCCGGAATCTCAAGACAATATCATGATCGTAACCACCTTATGGGATATGCTTCGGACAACGGACGAAGGGACGCGAACCGAGGCTGAACTCAAAGCGGCTTACGGCAATGCTTCCTCATCGGCGACAGTGACCGTACGCCGGATCCAAGATTCAAGTAATGATGAAAGCATTTATGTCAGCATCGTTCGAGAATTCATTGCGGTGGTCACTATTTCGACAGGCATTGATGGCAACCAGTTTGCGAAGATGTCTCTCCAAGATTTGGTCAACATCATTGCTAGCAAAGATAGCGAGCTGGTAGACCTCAAGGCCAAGTTCCAGGCTTCTTCTGCCACACATGCCATGGAATTGGAGAAGGCGGTGACCGAAAAGCTGCGTGTAGCCAAGGAACTCGATCAGGCCAGAAAAGCCGAAAAAGAGGTCATCCAACTCAAAGGTGAGCTTCAGAAACATAAAACGGACCATGAAACCAAAATCGACAACCTTGAGCGACAATTCGATGCTGAGAAGCGAGATTTAAACAACAAGCTCCAGAAATCAGAGGTAGAGCGCCTGGATTTGGCCAGACGCCAGGAGGAGCTGTACCGGACTTTGGCGCGCGACCTTGCCAGTCAAACCCTAGGAACTACTGGAATTACGCCTTTACACCTCGCTGCTAGGCGTGGACAGACAGATCTTGTGAGGCCATTAGTTGAAGCTGGCGTGCCGCTCGAGGCGAAGATGCAGCGCATTGACGTGTCGACTGACCGTAGCTATGGCACGGCGCTTCATTGGGCTTCAATCGAAGGCCATCTTGGGACGGCAAAAGCATTGCTTGATGCAGGTGCCCAAAAGGAGGCTCTCAATGCTTGGAGACGTACCCCTCTTCACTGTGCTGCCCGTTTTGGTCACCTCGAGGTGGTGAAGCTGTTAGTGAGTCGCAATGCCAACAAAGAGGCGAGGCGTGATACCAACGAGACACCTCTGCATTTCGCCGTGGAGGAGAATCGCTACTCTGTTGTTGAGTTTCTGATAGATGCGAAGGCAGACATCAATGCCCGCGGGGATAGGGGTACTCCGCTGCAGTTTGCGTATGCGAAGGGACATTACCAAATTGCTCAGCTGCTAGTCTCCAGAGGAGGAAAGAAATGAAGTAGGTTTGTCTGGGGAGGGATTGCTTAGCTTTTGAGATTCAGTATAGCCAGCGTAAAGTTCCAGTGGAGACTCTTCAGACAAAGGTTGGCGATGTATCATTCTCTATATTAGCAAGGGGAGGGATAAACGCGCACCCCCTAATCACTCTACGCAAACCCCCTCCCCCCCTGTCACTTCACCACCTTCTAATTAGCTTAGAGCACTTCTCCATAGCCTCTAATTCACTCACTTAACTTGCTCACTAATTCCGAATGCTCTCTCCAAGTGGGCCATGTACAACACAAGCAATTACATCCTCATCCTCATACTCTACCTTTACAATACACTCACCATGACCCTCCAGCCGCCACCGCTACGGGCCTACAACACTATAGAGGAAGCTGAGGAAACGCTCACAGAGCATGCAAAGGCGCAAGGCTACGGCCTTGTGAAGTACCGCTCCAAGGGTGATAAGACAACGGCAAAAACAACAAGGAAGATCTGGTACAAATACTGCTTCCTATCCAATTCGTGCAATTGTATATACGGCCGTACGCCTAAGTGAATGAGAAAGGCTACACGTGCGGATGCACGTGAGAATAGAGCTCCGGACGAAGCTCCGAGCCGCTCCAGCCAATCAAAAGATCAGACGAGAGGGGGTGTGAAACTACCAAAAAGGGGGTGTGCAGGTACTAACGTCCTTATTATTCCAAGCCATTACTTAAAATATTTGGTGGTTGCTGAGATTGCTGAGCTGTCAAAACGTCCAAATCGCACCAAAAAGTAAGGGTGACCACTAGCTGATGCTGACCACTAGCTGATAGACTACGTCAAATGAAAAGTGCTAAATAAGCAGCCGCCAAGCCTATACGTGACCTCTGCAGAAGTAACTGAATCCAACCCGATGAAATCTAACCCCCTCACGAAACCATTCAGCACACACTAATCCTCAGATCCGACGGCGCTGTCCCCGTGAAAAATCAGTCAAAGTCAAAGTCCACTCCTTGACCTCACCCGTCTTGCCGTCTTTCCAAGTATTGCCCGGGTCGCAATAGTCGAGCGGGGGCTTAGTGTTGCAAGTCGGGAACTTCAGAGCGCCCTTGCAGTCTTTGTTGGTGCCTTAGGGCATTTCCTGGCCCGAATACGAAGACGTTGCGCCAGCCGAACCAGAGCAGCGTATCGTCGGTCGACGTGACGTCGAGCCCGGTGAGCGTCAAGGCGTCTTCGCCCGGGATCTGGATGTCGAACCCCTGGCTGAGGTCGCTGTGGGCGGCTGTGGTGTTGGCGACGCTCTTCTCGTTGGAATCGTACACTTGCATGCTAGATAGAGTTGTTGGGTTAGCTGTTGCGCTTTTATGGAGCGTTTGGTAGCGCGTGTGAACGTACATGACTCCCCAGTCCTGTTTTTCTGTGATGAATTGGTTCACATGTATCCGATAATTGTCCGTGGGCGTAGGATCATTATTCATAAGTTCAGGTGGTGGGTTGTTGATGAACATAGCGTTACCTCATTGGGTCTGGAGCCTTCCTTCGAAGCTCATCCTTTTGCTATTTGGAGAACCTGGATAGCAAATAGGAGCTGATTAGCGGTGTTGCCCGAAGAATGATGGGCATGTCTTACATGTTTTATCATCCAGCATGTGTAGGAAGGTCTGGGAGCAGGTGGGGGCAAGTGTGCCGTAGTCTTTGGACGGGGCCGTCCATTCGAAAGTGAAAAACCAGTTCTTGTAATTTGTCCATTTACCGTTCGCGCTCTTGTCATCAGACGCTGCCCATGCCACCTTGTGGTCTTCGATAGAACGAGTCTGATTACAGAACTGATACATAAGACTAGGAACGGTCAGTGGAAGACTTCGGTCTCTGTGGAATGATGATTTACATCGTCCACATCTCAGTTTCAACATCAAACTGTTTTCCGTCGCATTTGGCTGTACCGTTTGCGTCTATGAATGAAAGTAGTCTTGGTAGACCTTTGGGATCAACAAAGGATATCTTATTTGATAGTATGAAGCCGACGAAGTTCTGAGACGGGATGCACGTACAGCTATCAGATTGGCATTAATATGAGTTCCTAATGTAGTGACGGATCTCACCTACCCAGACCAAATAGGTGGTTTCGATTTCTGAGGATGCTGGTGACTCAGTTAGTAAAGCCGCCGGAGTATGCTTCGAGCTTGAGAAACCCTTACCCCAATACACATGCCCGGTGGATTTTCTCCTCCGCAATTTACGCACTGAGGCATTCGGTCAGCAGGAGGACAGCTTGGGGCAGATGATGCAGTTGCCGTTTTGGAAGGCTCCAGCTTGGAGAGCACGAACTCCGTGGGCGAGGCGTTGTGGTCGTTGGCGTGGGCAAAGGCAATCACAAGAGCCGTCCGAGAAAGTTCCATGACCCAGTGGTCTGAAATGGCAATTTCTGAAGGCTTGCCGAATGGAAGAAAGTGCTCTATCTCTAGAATTCGTTGACGAAGAACGTTTCATCTCTTAGAAAAGATATTGGGTGGACGGATATGCTGAGGTCCTAGGCGTGTTCAGTTCTAAGGCTGAATACCCTCTTGCTTTCTCGCTTGTCTTGTCCGTTTCGACGACCTGGTGTCGCCATCCAATCATGAACGACATAGGTTAGAAGGCGGGGCGAGAGCCCTCCAAGGCTGGTGCTTCACGTTATTGCGCTCCACATCTAAGGACTATCTTCTCTCCCTTCAACTCTTCGTGTCATCTAAGCTCGTCATGTCATCCTCGCCTTGCAACTTGTGCGACTACTTTGAGCCAAAATATTCAGGATCCCGCGTCGTGTTTAACTGCAGCCTTGCGAGGCTCGATGAATCGGTCAAAGCTGGCTGTCCAAGATGTACTTTGATTCGCAACGGGCTCACTACATTCGAGCCCAGAATCGGCAATTTCATGGATATTAAACTCATTGAAGTTGGCCCTGATCCCAGGCATTACGATCTCGCGGTTGAAGACCTCAACATTCGAGTCGTAGTGTATGTCGGGAATAAAGGAGTTTTTCTCGACTTTGTTCCAGGTATATAATCCTGTTATTCTCTTCGTACATGTCTCTTCACTATTCCTTTCATCTTACACTCAACAACTATGCTACCCTTCTCTCGAATTGATCTAAACAGTCGCACAATTCTTCGCCTCGGAGAGCTAATGTTCCTACTATGACAGGACCGAAGCACCATCTATCCAGCAAACAAGATACAGGAATCATCTCCAGAAAAACAGCGTCAGAAGAATCGTTTAACTGGGTGTCTGACCTTCTGAATATTTGTCAAAAGGACCATCGCAAGTGCAATCCCACCACTGCCAGCAAACTTCCTACGCGCATCCTTGATGTGGGACTATCGGATGACTTGTCTAAGAACAGCGTGAAGTTATCCGAGCTATCCAATGTCTCTGCTCAATATGTATGTCTCAGTCATTGCTGGGGAACTGTGAGGGTAATCACAACGACTCGCCAAACTCTCGCCGCTCGTTGCCAAGGAATCCCCTGGGAAAGCCTCCCAAAAACCTTTCAAGACGCTATTACATACACTCGGCGATTGGGCCTGCGTTACCTGTGGATTGATTCTTTGTGTATACTTCAAGATGATAGGGAGGATTGGAGAAGGGAATCAGCCCTAATGGCCGCCATATACAAGAACTCTTACATTACCCTTGCAGCCACTAAATCTCCAGACGGTAATGGCGGATTGTTTTCTGAGGGATCATTTTTAGATTATAATCATCCCTTAGAGCCGCAGCTGCCAATAGCCCTTCCATGGATGGAAAAAGAGACAGTTCAATATTACGTCCACGAGCGCATTTTCCATTTCGATTGGAGGGCTGGTTTCGACGACGCAGCAAACCCTTTGAGGACTCGCGCATGGGCATATCAGGGGAGACTACTATCACCTAGAGTCCTTCATTTTTGCGCGCAAGAATTGGCATGGGAATGCCAAGAGACTACGCAATGTGAATGTTTGTATTCCGAACGGTCTATCGACTCAAAGCAGATGTATTCCACAGCTATAGGGACACGGAAAAGTCAACAGATTTGCCCAAGCTCCACAGCCAACCACAGTCAGAATAAAGTCAAGCTTAGCCGCGAAGAGTCCACGAGCCAACTCAAGCAGCCCGAAGACAATGGCATTGATCTTGTTCAGACTACCTCACCTTCAAGCTCTATGAAGTATCAACCATTGGGTAATCAGTCATCCTCTCCGTTCACCAGATTCATCGAGAGGCTCAGGGCCACACGGTGCACACCAAACCTTGTCTCTCTTTGGCGTTATCTAGTCGAGGAGTACTCTGGCCTTCGTCTTTTGGAAAAAAGTGACAGGCTCCCGGCCATTGCAGGACTGGCCGCACATATTGCAACCTACAAACCAGGGAAATATCTTGCAGGCCTCTGGGGAGATTCCATATATGAAGACATGCTTTGAAGAACCAAGAACAAACGAGTATACGATCCAAGGCCTGCAGCATATCTAGCTCCTACATGGTCTTGGGCCTCCACGAAATCCGGTATCTATTTCTTCAAGGCGACTCGCTCACATGACCCCACTTTCCACGTGCTCCAATCGAGTTGCATCCCTGTGCGCGATGGAGATTGGTATGGTGAAGTTAACTCCGCAACCTTAACCGTAGCGGGCAACCTTCAACCCGCAACGGTTGTCTACCATCATTCCGAACTCGCGTTGGAACCTTTGTACCACTTGATTGTAAAAGGGGTGACGCTTCTAGTATCGCCTGACTACTCGTAGTCACTGGAAGGGAGATCACAAGGTTCGAGATGGAGAAATGGTATACTGTTTGGGCGAATTTGAGGGATGGATAGAGGCCTATGAACAACATTTCTCACTAGTAGTGCGCCGGCTCGCCGACGATAGCGTGCGGTACGAACGCATCGGCGTTGCCTTAAACACCAGAGATAAGCTGATGCCTGATATACCAACACCACGTGTTCTATTTGATAAAAACTTTGAAGCGAGAATGACTTTGGTTTAATCCCCGAGGTTATACTCCATGCCGCATTATGCTCCATGCCGCAGAGAGTAGAGGTGTCATTCAATCTATCTATCCTTTGCTGACCACCGGCCACGTTAGAGCTACAGGCCTTGAAAAACCACATATGCAGATGCTGAGAATAACACTTGCCACATTCCAGCAAGGATCCTCCATCCAGTAAAGATTAAATGAGAAAGGTAAGACTCCCATTGCTCCCAAGAGCTTCTACTTGAATCGTACTAAACGCACCAAGCAGATCCAAGTAGGGCGTAGTGGGACGAAGAACCCAAGCGCTACTCTCCATTTCGCTGCTACCTTCCAACATGTACTTAGACGCGTTCTTTTAGAAGTTACACCTCGCTCTCCACACCAAGTACCGCCGCTTCACCGCTCCCAATTCTCGCATACCACCCATCCACTCTGCTTCTATAAGCCGTCAGCCCCACAGGTCCTAGTGATCTTTCTTTCCCTGCCTTCCTCCCCATCCTCCTTCCGCTCATCAACCACCCCTTCCAACCCCTCCCGCCTCGCCCATTCCACCGGCCCCTCCCGCACCTCCTCCACCATCGCCGCCAACCCCCCCGCCGCCTCCTCATACGTCTCCCTCAAGGCCGCATACTCCCCATCCATCTCCGCCAATCCCCTCACCACCTGCGCATTCTCCGCCCTCAACTCCTCATTCTCCCCCACCAATTCCCCCCCCCGCCCCTCCGCCTCATCCCTCTCCCCCCTCAACCGCCAATTCTCCCCCCCCAATCTCCTAAACCCCTGCACCGCCTCCTCATTCACCTCTCTTAGCCGCCGATTTTCCTCAATCAGCTCCAAAATCGACCCCTGCGCCATCAGCATCGCACCCCGCTCGCCCGCCTTCTGCGCCGCCATGCGCGCGTTCTGCACCTCGACCTCCCGCAGCCGCGCGAGCAGCCGCCCGCGCAGCCGGTGGCCGTCCAGCAGCGGCTGCAGCAGGGCGGTCAGGCTGGCGACTTGGTCCTCGAGGGCGTGGATCGTGCGCGCGTTGAGCGCGAGCATGGCGGCTTGGTTGGCCGTGATGCGCGTGAGGAGGTATTCGCGGCGCGCGGCGGCGAGGAGCGAGGCGTGCAGGGCGAGGGTGTTGCCGAGGGCGTTGAGGTTGTGCTGGAGGGCGTGGAGGAGGGCGGCGGCGCGGTCGAGGACGGCGAGGTTGGCGCGGAGGCGGAGGGAGGTAAGGGTGAGGGCGCGGTGGACGAGGTGGGTGAGGAGGGGGAGGGGATTGAGGAGGCGGATATGGGAGAGGCGCTGGGGGTGGGGAGGAGTGGACGGGACTGGATGGGTGGCATCCGGTTCTCCTGGGCGTTCCTGGGGCGGTGCGTCCTGGGGCGGTGCGTCCTGAGGCGGTGCGTCCTGAGGCGGTGCGTCCTGAGGCGGTGCGTCCTGAGGTAGAGCTAGGGGGTCGTCCTGGGGTTCTCCCTTTGGTTGATCGGCGGGTTCGTCGCGAGACTCGTTCTGAGGTTGATCGAGAGCTTCGCACATAGTCTCGCCCTCAAGCTCGTCCAACTGATCTCCTTCAAACGGATCATAGGACTCTTCTCCCTCACCCGCATCGGACTCCTCCTCAGAGCTAATTGAAGTCGAAAAACCAGATCCGCCAGACTCGAGAGCAAGGACGTGTTCCCAAGCCGAGAATGGTTCCACGGTATCGACCACACACTCCTCAGCTGGGAAGTCTTCGGGGAAGTCTTCGTGTGTAAAGGACTCAGTCTCCTTAACGACAGCCCAATCCTTCTTCTCAACTATACCTCCTGAGTTCCTTAGAGTTCGAAGTCCCATAGTGGCGTCGTTGCAGTTCAGAGGAGTCGTATGAAACGGCTGCAACGATTCCAAAGCGTCGAGTGTGATGGAAAGCCGGCGTTCCATTGATGCTTGTGGGTAAGAACAGGTCCGACGGATATGGGAGTTGAAGAGTACAGGAATGGAAGAACATAGGCGTTGAGAGTATGGGAAATGCCAACAAGATGACGGTGGTGGTGGTGGCACAGGTGGTGGATGAGAATGTTTGTAAGGAAGAGAGAACAGTTCTCTGAAAGAACTTGTTTACATCGAAGAGGTAATTCACTAAATGGCTTTCCTGCACGTCGCTTACACTTACACCTCCTAGCCCCTCTTCTGCACTCTGACCGCCCCGTTAGTTGTGTTTTCACAATGGGTGAATGAACTCTAAACATCATGATCGAGTCTCCCTGCATGCGTTCTAAAGCAAGCCGCGTCTGAACAACAATTTGGCAGCAAGCAATAGAGTTGTAAAGGTATATGAGCTGCTGCCGATACCACGTTCTGCCTTCTAGTTCTAGAGCATCAACCCCACGCGAACCAGTCTTGGTCATCAAGACGTTGACTCAGGTTGAAATTGATGTGAACTCTGCTTGTATTGTAGTGGCCGTACGGGCCGAATATATACTAATAGGAAATGGCCCACCCCTAGGTCTTATCAGCTCAGCTGAATAGAGGCCAGCTGAAAGGAATGGACACAGCTGAGAGGACCCTGGTGTAGCTGAACAGAGGGCCTCGCCACGCTGAGTGCGCGCTAGTAGCAACCAACCAAAGAACGAGAATCAAGGAGAGAGAAAAGGGGGGGAGTTGGCAGCCAGTTAGAATGCTCCTACGCACGTCTGTCTACGCGTCTCAGCTGTACAGGGTTCACTTCTCAGCTGGACAAGGTTCACCTGTTGTTTTGTCACCGTTGCTGCCTGCAACCCCTGGTCTCTCTTCACTATATAGCCACTCGTTAGCACCTCAATACAACTCATGCTTTCCTCACTGATCCTTTGCCCTTCCTACGCCAGCTGCCAGGAGTGCCTGTACGTAGGTGACCGTGAACCGTATGAGTTGTTGATCCTAGGTTGTAGCTGTTACAACCCGAGTCGTTGCTATTTGAATACTTCATCAATGCACCTTGAAAGCCCGCCATCCGTTTCCCCTATCCACCAACCTTGCGCCTTCTATAGCGATCAGCCGGAAAGCTTGTGGCTGTGATACTCCTCTTCGCGCCAACACTCGTCAGGACCTCATCACGGTGCTCCGAGGACTGCTCTATGTTCTCTCTATATCAGTAAGTTGCATGCTTACTTGTGAAGACGCTCACATACCGGTGTAATATTCCGGTCCCCAATTTCTGACATCTCCCCGATCGTTCTTCCGGGCCCGCTTTCCCGCAGCCGCATCTGTCACAACCCCAGCTTTCCTCGCAGCTTTCAAGAACCGAGGCTTCCGCAGCGCCTTTGTGAACATGTCTGCAATGTTCTCCGTTTTACATCGACCCAAACCATCCGAATCGCTTCCGCAAGCGCTTGTGCTCTCAGGTAGTGATTATCGAATATCGAGATATTTAATTCGAGAGTGAAATTCTGGATTCCGGACCAGTTTTATCGCTGCTGTGATATCGATGGATTATTGGATCGAAGATCTCGGTCCCCCAAGCGGAGTTCTGGGCATCTAATTCTGGGATCTGTGTCTGGTTACGGATACGCTCATTCAAGAGAGCCCATGTGCCCTATTGTGGTTCAGAACGTTCTCCCCACCGGTCGGTCTGCCATCTCTCCTCTGGAGCCTGACGGCCTCCAGCTGATCTCGTCTCATCTGCAACCTGTAGTATAGGTTGGAGAGATGCATGGTTCGCTCTTCGCGTTGGTCGACGATTGATCGCGTATCGTTGTTGCCAATCACGTAAGGCATATTGTCAAGTGGAGTGTCTGAAGTCTGGCTATTCATGGGAGGGTTGGATGTGCAAGCGTGAGGATACCTAGTCTTGGTTGAGCTCGGGCCCCCTTCGACCTCCTAGCAATAATTCCTGTTCATCAGACGACCCGTCTCGCAAACCCGGGAGTGGTAGAACCACACACGCCGAAGCTAATTCTTGCACTGCTTCCCCGGATATCCCGAGAGTCCGGAACCGCGACTCCGACCTCTGTCAGGCGATAGGGATTGTATTCGAAGTCCTCGAAATCGATGGCATTGATCACGAAGTCAGAGGCCTTGTCGGGTCCCCCTTCGACCTGCTGGCCCATTGCGACCTGATTGCATGAATTCTGTCTTTAAGGATATGGTCTTGGCTACGGAGGTATTCTCGACGTGTCGTGGGATGCCCGCCTCCATTTCTGCTCGTATGTGTGTGGCGAGTGATGTCAGGTCGACGAGCTGTGTGTTAGCATAGGCCTGGATTTTCTCGCAGCGACGAGCGAGGGTAGCTGTTCCTGGGGAAGATTGCATCGGATCGATAAACGTGCTGCCAAATGCTGGCATGTAAATTGGCACAACCTGAGGAGCTGCGAAACTCGTGATCAGGTTTATTGCACCCCTCCTCGAGGCCGCATCCCAAAAGACTCGGCTCATCAGTTTCGTTCCGGATCTCAACCTTTCCAAAAGCCAAGTGAAGGTTCTCATAACATTTCTGTGTCATTTGCTGGTTGCACATCGGACTAGTGGGAAGTTAGCCATCCTCCCACTCGTATCAGATGGGGATCTCGGAATGTTCTGTTGATGTGATTTTGCGGCCTATGCTCTAGTTCTCATGTTCCTCGTCGATGCCCAGCGGGGGCCCAACAAGACATGCTTCCCATTCAAGACTTCGCTCAGCCAAACACCGGAGCTCATAGAAGCTTGCAACCGCAATATATTTTTCCATGGTTTAGTTCCTTCTGAAGTGGTGACGCATCATTGGGTGCAGTCGATCAGTGGACATAAAAGGGCGCCGAGTCGCGAATATAGCGAGTGTTTGCTGTGCTGACACACATGCATGCGCGCAGTGGTGACGTCTCTAGGAGATGCCCTGTGTGGGTGTCTTCAAATACCGTAGTCTTAGCTGTTGGGCGTGGAGTGGAGTTGTCGGTGTGTTATATAATATGGAAAATGGAAAGTATAGTTTTGAAAGAGGCGTTGTGTATACAGCTGAAGGTGGGCGAAAAGTTGCGTGGAAGGAAGAACGGTGTGATAGGACGAGTGATTTATTATAATTGGACCAAGACCCTCATCATAAGGTTGGAATCTAGATCGTTTACAAGAACCATTTATTTCTATGGTTTAGTTGAGAGGATGATTGTTGATTGCGACTATGATTGTCGGTTGTTTCGTTTATGTGCAAGTCTTATTCTTAGCCCACAAACTCCACCAAAACCATGGTTCGAAGTACCAGCCCAGAAGTGAAGCTTTGAGGAGACTGAATTGTCGCTGCTGTAATGCTAATGGAGTCGCCTGAATATTCTCCAGAAACTTAGGCCGAGTATGTCGATATTCATTTTCACAGCAGTAGACAACGCGTTCGAAGGTGGCATGACTAGGCGCCATTCCGCTCCAAATGCTGAGCTTCCATCTCTTTCAGTTTCTTTAAAGTTACGAAGAAGCACCCTAAGCAGTAATAAGAGAGTGTTGGCAAACCTATGATGGAGCTTAGCCAAAGTTCGCACATTCATCTTCAATCACACTACAAACACACATGAAATTAGGACAAAAGAAATCAATTCAGCATGGAGACAATCTCCTTAGCTTTAGTCTCTATCATCCAGCATATGTAGTAAACAGATCCCAATCTGAGAGTATTTGTGGGTATAATAGTTTGAGTTATAAGCAATATGTGATGTCTGGAAGGGTATCGTACTCTATACTCCGTCCAAGTCTAGCGGCAAGCAAGCCAGACCATCCAACAGAAATGTATGAGAAGTGTACGCTTGACCCACACGTATGATGAGATAACAAAAAGAAAAGGCTACCGTTGAGGCACAGGAAGTTTACCAGTATCAAACCAGTACCCGATAAGCAATTATCAGCTCCAGGGCATTCCTGCCCACAGCATTTCCGTCCCCAGTTGTCGTATCAAGCCGTCTTTAAACAGCGACCAGTCTCTGTACCACCTTCCCTAGCCGCTCCGTGAAGCCGCTCCAGACTTCCCTCCCCTCATCTCCCTCTAGCATGCGCACTTCTTGGTCGACTCGGAGGTTGTACTCGATGAACTCGGTGACAGCGTTGACGAGTATGTCGATCTTCTGGTTGGGCAGCTTGCGGACAACCTTGCGCTTAACATCCGTGTTTTGACAGAGATTTCCGAGCAGGACGGTGAGGTAGCCGTATGCGACATTGGACCTGGAGGCTTCGAGGGAGTCGGCCTCCGCGGCCCTTTCAGTGCCACTTAGGAAATGTATAACCAGCCTTTCAAGCATTACGTCTCCCTCACTAGCCTTCTTTTCGCACACCGCGCCTCGAGCCGCATCGCTGAATTCGGCTAGATTGATCATAGCACCCAAGCTTAGGTAAAGGCTTTCCAGGATCGTCTCCCTGCTCTCCTCGTCGATCTGGTCTTCATCCAGGATGTTGAAGAATCGATCGATAGATCGGCATAGCGGCAACACAAGTGCACTAGTCGAGAAGATTTCGCAGGCGCGTACATTATTGTTGGTCAGGTTGATGACGAGTCGGATGGCGAGGCGGTCGAGCGTCGCCTTCATCTCCAGGGCCGTGTCGGTGCTCTCAGTTCCTAAAGTGTCTATGAAGAAAGGCATCATAGACGCAACACGCTTCAGGCTCTTTGAACTCCAGACTCCAACTTTCACTCCGCTGAGGGAGAGTGATTCCGTTATGCTGAGGCAGAGTTTGAGGGTCTTGAAGTCTGGTGCTTGCATTTGGTCGGACTTCAGATCCTCCACGTGCGTATCGGCAATCTCAAGTAACTTCGATACCACCTGATCGTCTTGCAAATCGTCTTTACTCCCAACCTTTCTGAGGCCACGTACGAGAAGGTCGAGACCACGAAGAGCTACTAGCTGAGGGGATATCAGGCCCGGCCTGTCATCCTTCCAGAGAGCAGAATCGTGAACGACCTTGCGAAACTCGATCACATCCTTTTGCGCGAGCTTTGACAGATTCGATTTCCGTTCCTTGGCTATGCGCAGAATGTCTGTGTCGCGTTCTAGCAGGCTCGCAAAGCACGTCGCGGCACCTGTGTTGTATATGTGTTCGAGCACGCCCGGAGCCACACCTGCTTTGATCACGAATGCAGTGGTTGCCGCCGCTGTGAAATTGAAAATTGGGTCCTCGGAGCTCGATAGCCTCGAAAAAAGTTGGCGATCAAGGCCGAGCTCAATGACGCGGTGTACGATGGCAGCGTCAGACAGTTTGGTCGCGAGTTCGAGCATTGCACTGCGCCGTCGTGCTCTGCCGTAGGAAGTCGTGTCGTTGATATCGTCTAGCAGGGCTTCGATGTCAGTCCTAAACCGGAGGATCTCGCCGCCCTTGCGGAGCTCATGAATACTGCGGACCGTGTTTGTAGGCTGGTCATCGTCTTCATCATCATCTAACTTTGCGAGACCTGATTGTGGTTTTGCGTTGAGTCCTCGCCGCTGGGCTGCTGGAGCCGGGCTTTCCATAGGCAACGAAAAGAGAAGTTCAGCTTCAAGATTCGCTTCGTTGAGGTACGAGCGCTGTTTGGCGTAGGTTCTCTTCGGGCCGTCGGCGAGGATAGGAGCGGATTGTGATGACTGGGACGCTTCTGCGGCGTCGATGTCGATGTCCATATCTTCCGTGATGTTGCCGACATCTTGCGGCGCAGCGAGTAAAGTTCGCTCAACTCGGCCATATGTGCGCTTTTCGGTTCTGGTTGGGAGACCCTGGGGCGCATCTACCACCTTGCTCTCCACTTCTTCTTCTTCTTCCTCCTCTTCAGTTCCATCATCCTCATCATCTGATGGAGGCGCAGACTTCTTGAGAGAATCGATCAGTCGTGGTCGTTTTGTGTGCATTGTGTGTGGAATGTCTGAAGATGATCGTCCGAGCTTAGCAGCCATCTTACTCTCGCGGCGCTCCGACGAGATGCGTAGGTCTTCCAGCTTGAGCATCCCAGGCGTGACAGTATCATCGCCTAGCAATTTACTCCATGCCTGTCTCTGGCGAGGAGTAACAGCTCCACTACGCATTGGCGATCGTGGTAAAGCAGACTGCCGTGGTGGTGGTGTGGAGGGCAGCATCTCGGAGTACTCGGTATTTTCCATGGCATAATCCTCTTGGGGCGATGATGGAATGCTCGGTATAGGCGAAGGATAGCGAACGGGCCGAGATTCTCTGACGGCTAGCATATTATGCAATTTCGCGGGCGCTGACTGGCCCTTCGACAGAGGTGCTGTAACGGGAACTGTTCGCGTTCGAGTTCGCTGCGGTTTATGGATGACCTCCGCCTTATTCGGCCTAGGTGCTGAGATTCCGTCCTCCGCGAATTGGATCTTCTTCTTTACATCCCGCGAAGCGCTTGCATCCCGTCGCATGTGTTTCGCGCTCCGCTGATGCTCTACAGGGACTGTATCCTTGTATGCGTTTTCCTGATTTGTAAACCCTTGCGATCCTGCTGACGAAGTTGGTATGTATCTCTTCCTCTTCTTCGCGGTAGTAGAAGAGTCCGATTCGGTCAATTGCTTTGGAGAGGGTACCGTATTGGTGGCTTTTGACGGGACAATGGATTTCAAAGTAGGAACTTGTTTCGGTCGAGATTTGAGTGAGGTTTGGCGTTGAGGGGGTTTGTCGTCGTCCGTCGAAGGCACGTCGAACATGTCGTATTCCGCTTTCTTTGCTATTACGGGGCCCTTCTTCTCCGGTCGCTTCGTAAGCGGGGATGGCTTCTTTGGCGTTGTAACAGGGCTTTTCGTGAGGATATCCTCATTTGATGACGGCAAGTCAAGTATGTCGTACTCCGGCTTCTTAGATGCGTCTCTCGAATTTCCTTCTGTTCGTTTCGGCACTGCGGAATGGGCCTTGGAGGAGATCTCAGCCGGGTTCCCTAATTTTGGTTTTGCTAATGACTTCCCCCCAGCGGCTCCGAAAATCCTCGCAGCCTTCGTCAACATTGGCTGCGCAGGCTGCTTCTCTTCAGTACTTTCGATACCCTTCCCCAATTTCGCGGATCGAGACGTAGTAAAAGTCTCCACAGGTGCATTTCTTGACACAGGCTTCTTTCGCTCGTCCTCCGAAGACAACGGCATGCCAACGACTACATCGTCTCCGTTTGGCGCATCCCGACTCTTCTGCCCAGTACCCGCAGTGTATTTCAATTTCGCCGGTCTTGATGCTACCACAGGCTTCGCAAAGGCCTTCTTCGGCGAAGGCTGCGACAGCTCATCCTCCGAAGACGACGGCACGTCAAAAACATCCCCTCCAGTCTTTTGCGCGTCACTCCCCTTGTCCCCAAACCCTAGTTTCGACACATTCTTCAAGCCGGTCGGGCCCCAACTCCCACTAGATGTTGCGCCCGCTTTCGTCCTCGGTTTCTCGGGCGAAATCACGTCGTCGTTAAAGGCGAAAGTCTTGTTACGCGACTTGCCATAGGTGGCGACCCGCTTTCGGCGGGGCGCGGCGGTGGAGGCGAGAGACGGCTGCATGGCCGATGCAGCAGTCGCCATGGATCGCGGAAGAGGTTCGGTGGTATAGGAGGTGGTCGCGAGCCCGGTATCCAGAAGCGTGGTGGTGGAGTCAGACGGCACGCATGGTAGTAGTGAAGGCGGGCGTGTGGAAACGGCAACAACAATGCGCTGCACGCAGCTAGACAGTGAATGAAAACAAAAGCTCCCCGGCAGGCCGGTCTCAGATGCGGCTCGGGCGGCTGCAGGAGGCCAGTAGGGTTAAGGTATGCGGGTGTCTGCAGGTATGTGCGTGGTGATGCAGGTGGTGGCTCGGGTCTGTGTTGAGTCGAGGTGTGGCGGGTGGCAGAGGGGACGAGGCGCAAGAGTGCGGTGAAACGTCACTGGACGATTACATCGGCTCGCGATTGGTTACGGCTTGGGAGACAAGAATCTCGCAATTGCTTCCACGGTCACAAACGTAGGCAGTACGCAAACATTTGATCCTAGATAGGAGTATAAGGGCCAAGTTTCGTGCGCCGTCGCCGAACCCTTTTCTTCTTTCCTAATTGTGCTACGTGGAATGTATACACCATCTGGACAGACTCCTTTGAGGGAATGATCACGTGAAAGGTATAGATCTGCAAAATCCATAAGCTATTAAAAAATCCTAAGAGCCCATGGTATGTTTCAAGTGCGGCTATTCTCATGCCTTGTAATGCACAGTCAAGATCTAGAAACATGTCTTCACGACGTCCCTTGAATCCATGAATGCTTCTTATTGGTTTCCATTCACATGAAACGCCTTCCTCACCGCTCGCCCAAAGCGGACTGGTAACGGTGGAGCTCGCCGAAAGGCTTGAGGAACCTCGACTTCGACGTTCACCAAGCGGGCTGTGTGCTCGCACTATATAATCTCTCCTTCCTTTCTTGAACTTATACTCTACTACTCCCTTCGAATGAGCCGGTGACAAGAGCAATTGGGACTTCCTCATCCCCCATTACAGCAGCCCCTCCGTATCTGCACCCACCCGTGGACCCTTCACACGACACCTCGACCAACCCGCAAAATGGCCCAACCAGCGCCCTCCCAAAGCGTAGGACCTCTCTACCGCTCCGACAGCCAAAAGCCCACGGCCACAGTCTCTACAAAATTGGAGCATGACAATGTGCATATTCTGCCGCAAACGCCGCAGCTGATAGCACTGCTCACGTACTGCTACCCCACTCACCAATTGCACAGTTCATACTGACAATGCCGCTCCCACAGTATGATCCGCGACAAAGAGACGAACCGCGCCGACTTCATCTTCTACTCCAACCGCATCATCCGCCTCCTCGTCGAAGAGGGCCTCAACCACCTCCCCGTCGTCTCCCAGACCGTGGTCACCCCGGTCCCGGGCCAGAAGTACGCTGGCGTGCGCTTTGAGGGCAAGATCTGCGGCGTGAGCATCATGCGCGCCGGCGAGTCTATGGAGCAGGGCCTGCGCGATTGCTGTCGCTCCGTGCGCATTGGGAAGATCCTCATCCAGCGGGACGAGGAGACGTCGCAGCCGAAGCTGTTTTATGATAAGCTACCAGAGGATATTGCGGAGAGGTGGTGCTTGCTGCTGGACCCGATGCTGGCGACGGGCGGCAGTGCGCTGATGGCGGTGGAGGTGCTGATTAAGAGGGGTGTGCCGGAGGATCACATTCTGTTTTTGAATCTGATTGCGAGTCCGGAGGGGGCGGTGAGCTTTGCGCAGAGGTTTCCGAAGGTGAGGGTGGTGACGGCGTTTGTGGATGGGGGGCTGAATGAGAAGAAGTGAGTATCGTCCTCGAGAGTTCGGGGAAATGTGTGCTAATTGGTTTGTAGTTACATCGTCCCGGGTCTGGGAGACTTTGGTGACAGGTTCTATACCATGTGAGGGGTTGCGGGATTGATCTGAAGAGAGCTTCTAGGGTTGTATCATCAAGGGCTGGTGTACGAGGCGAGGAAATTGATCGAAGGCCATGAAGGCATACGTAGCGTGCATGGGGAGGTATTGGGGTCGAAGCATATCCAGAACCAGAATAGTCCTCAGGGCGGGAAGGCCTTCGAGGCGATTGCATACCAATAGAAGACTCTTTCCAAATAAAACCCAATCTGATTTTTCTGTGGTATCCGTAAGCCACCAAACGCCTGCAGAGCCAACCAGCCGCCTAATAAAGGCATAGCATCCCTCATAAACGCCGACACGAATATCGTACACCACCATTGAAAACCCCCTCACTCATAGTCCCCTTCGGCATCCATCTCATCATCCACCACAAACCCATCACCGCCATCGTACTTGTCATTCTCACCACCCTCATCTTCCTCGTCATCCCCATCTCCACCCGTCGCAGCACCGCTCGGTCTCCGCGCCGGCCCACTCCCGCGATATGTTTCCTTCGGTCCTGCATCCCCGGCAGACTCCTTCGCTACGGCATCGCAAGCATCGATCCAGTCTGCGTAGACGTCTACACCGGCGGACATGACTGCGCGTCTTTGTTAGCTGAGGCTCGGCTCGCGAAAGTTCCCAGACTCCGCCTCGTCGCAAAACACATAGTAGGAGTCCAAAAGAAAAGATGGGCATACAGTTGATATTCGTCTGGAAGTTCTGACCACACACTTTGCACTGCAGACTACCGATTCCGAGTTTCTTTTCGAGGGTCACAGAGACGGAGTTCTCGTGGTTGCAGAAGAGGCATTGGAAGGTTGTGGGAAGTTTTTCCTTCTATAGACGCGACTGTGTTAGTAGTTTCGCAAGAAGAGATGGAATGAGGTTCGTACCTTCTTCGCCGCCACGGGCTTTGAGGCCTTCTTGCGTTTGCCCATGGTGTTGTAGTGGTGAGGTTGTAGTGACTTTCACGTGCGAAGTCTATCAGGTGGTAGTAATTGTGGTGAAGAAACACGACACTGCGAAGCGTAGACAAAAGAACCCGCCGCTAATGATGCACCTAATAATGGAAGAAAGAGTGAATGCGTTCCTGCATCGCTCCGATCCGGCACGCCAAGAGCCTCATCCTCACCGCCCGATAAGCAGCCCCAATCAGCTCTCCCCACCCCTCGCCGACGGAGCTCTCCGCGATGCATCGTGCAACAGCTCACGTCCACCTTCCAATTAGCTACAAGACCACAGTTTTCTATTTAAGGCGGCCATTCCCGCGCCGCTTCTGTCCTTCTTTCCTCTTCTTTTTTTTGCCTCTCCCGTTTTTCCTTGGAGGGGTCACCACACGCTTCAATTCCATCCCACTCTTCACGTCTATCCTTTGTCTCAAGCTAGCCGCAAGGGAGGATTGACTAAGTAGTCTTTCGGCGTCAGCACGTCTCACATTGTCAATTGTAATCCAGTCAATCGGGCTTTTGTCTCGACTTCACAACTGCAGCCATGGCTTCAAACACAAGCGATCCTGTGCTTGCTCAGATATTGGAGGGGCTGGCGGCGCTCCGGAAGGACAATGCTACCCTCGCGTCAGCGGTTGACGAGATCAACGGCCGTGTGAACATGTTGGCGGGGGTCAAGCAGCTTCATGATGTTGCTGCTGCGGCGAATGGCTCCTCAGCGCCTGCGAAGGCGGAGGAGAAGCCAAAGGAGACTGTTGCGAGCCTCAGTGAGACATATGAGGGTGCCCCCACTGCTGCCGAAGTGCCTAAGGAACGCCGTGCTAGCACTACCTCCAAGATCATCCTTACAAGTTATCCTGGTCAGGCGGGCGTAGACCCATTGCCTATGGATTGGGGCAATAAGGATCCGAATGTTCGAGGACCAGTTGTAGTATCAAGGCACCCGGGCACCATCCGTCGACGAAATGGTATGCCAATTTCTCTTTGTCAGCCCCTTTTCTATCAACCTACTCACACCCCTAAGCAATCGGCGCCCACGGCGGTTCCTACTCCATCTACCACGCCCTCGCCGTCGCCAGCAAAGAGCTCGACGTCTCGCACAAGCCCGATTTCACCAACACCGAGCCCGCCGCCGACATAGGACCATTCCCGCAATGGAGCGATGCCAAGAAGATCGTCTCCATGGACCCTCTAGGCCACCTCGCCCCCTGGCTCTTCGCTGAGACGATCACAAAGGACAATGTCGAGATCAGGCCCACCATCGCTATCACCCGCGCGCACATGAAGCTGCCCGAGCTCGAAGAGAGCGTTCGGAAAGGGCGCCTTGTACCGGATGGCAAGATCTGCCTCAATTCGTCTGGAGAGCTAGCAGTGACCAAGTTCGCGGTTGAGCCCGTATGGTATCTGCCTGGTGTAGCGGAGAGGTTTGGAATCGATGAGGGAACGCTGAGGAGGGCGTTGTTTGAGGAAACGGGCGGATCTTACCCCGAGCTCATCACTCGTGGCGATATCAAGCTCTTCCTCCCGCCCATCGGTGGTCTGACAGTCTACTGCTTCGGCGACCCAGCCAAGATGTCTGATCCCAACGTGCGTCTTGCGCTGCGCGTACACGACGAGTGCAATGGCTCGGACGTCTTCGGTAGCGATATCTGCACATGCCGTCCATACCTCATCTTCGGCGTCGAGGAGGCGGTCAAGGAGGCGCAGAAGGGTGGTTCCGGCGTTGTGATTTACTTCCGAAAGGAGGGTCGCGCGCTGGGCGAAGTGACAAAGTATCTAGTCTACAATGCTCGCAAGCGTGGCACTGATCGCGCGAGTGAGTACTTCCAGCGGACGGAGAATATCGCGGGTGTCAAGGATATGCGGTTCCAGGCGTTGATGCCGGATGTGAGTTTTGTCCCTTTCTCCCCCCTTTCTACCCCCGCAGAAATTGATCGCCGTCTCAATATTCGACGTTTCTTCAGAGTGAAGGTTGCTTGGGGTGTACTCCACATGTACCGCTCGATGCACAACATGACTTCATTTACTAACCGTCGTACGCGCGCAGATCCTGCATTGGTTGGGAATCACCAAGATCGATCGCATGCTCAGCATGTCCAAGTACGTCTTACCACCCCTCACACTACATCACTACCTCTCAACACCATGCCCCCAATTTCCCAAACTTCCCCACTTTGTGCTCCCCCAACAGTATGCACAGAACACGAGCTTTGCCACATCACGATCGGCCGTCCCACTCCACACGTTCAGAGCTGCAACAGCAATCACTAACCTATCTATACACAGCATGAAACACGACGCCATCGTCGAGCAAGGCATCCCCATCCTCGAGCGCGTCCCAATCCCCGACGACATGATCCCGGAAGACAGCCGCGTCGAGATAGACGCCAAGATCCATGCTGGCTACTGTACGTCCAACCCCTTTCTATTTCACTTCGTGTCCAGGTGGTGATCGTCCGGCCGGATCGGCATACCCCATCCTTCCGTGTGGCGGGCTAGCAGTTCTAGACGCGCTTGGCTGGCGTGTCGATCGTCACATGTGGGGTAGAGGGGTGGTGGACTCCTGTAGGAATGGCGATCGATCTGGGCTGGAACGAGAGAGGCGATAGTGATGGCGATGTTTTCACGTTTTAGGCTTGAGTGTTTTGTGCTCTGAAGCTAACACAGCGTAGTCACGACGGGCCATGTCATGTCGATGGAGGAACTGCAGAACGTGAAGGGCAGAGGATGGGATGATGTCGATGTGAGTTTTTCTGCCCCCCGTCTACATCCTCCGCAAAGGCTCTTCTTCTCTAACACTACTCTACCAGCACTGAACTCCCCAACCCACGACTATATCAGCGGAGCGGTCGATGTGGCTGATGGGTAATGGGGATGAGAGGGTAGGGTTTCGCGACGAGCTGGGGCAAGGGCGGAAGCTATAGAGCCTATCCGTGGTTCTTGTGCGCGTTGAGAGTGTGCAAATCTATTCACGAGCAATTGCGAGAAAGGTGCTTTGGTGTCTTGTGCGACGGCTTTTAGATTGGGTGGACTTTGTTTGCGAAAATATGAATGAAGGAATTATGAAGCGATCTCTCGGTGCTGAAAGGTTGTGACTAGGAACGCGTAATTAAAGGACGATAGCGAAGCAGCTTGGCTCTTCCCAGCCCCTTCGGCATGTCTCACAGTCTTTCATGCCACGACAGGACGCTGAGTACGGCAGATCGAGAGTATGGAGGGGTCTTGGTGATGAGGGTGTACTGAATGGTAGAAGCGCTGTACGAACGCTTTGGATATTGTCACCGCGTCAATGGGGTTCCTTGAAGCGGACGAACGAGAGAGAGTTCACAGCAAATCGCGAATGGGAAATGGCCGCGCGAACGCCGTGCAAGTTACCACGGCATCATCGAGGTTCCATGTAGCAGCAGAGGCAAAGGAGAGGTTGCAGGGCTTCTGATAAGCTGGGATGCCCGGAGTTTGCGACGACCTGCTTTCATCCCCACTCCTGCTTCAGGCCCTCGAAGTCCTTCGGAGGAAGTCCGAACTCGAATCCTGCGGTCGAGAAACCATCCCACGCGCAATCCTGCGGGGATGGGAAGTGTGCAAGACGGAGGAAAGCGTCATCGCTTACGGTTGAGAGCGAAGCCGAGTACAGTACTTGTTTACCTACCAGTTGCTGCCTGGAACAAGCTCTCTGTCTCAACAGGCTTGTACAGATCACCCGGGCCAGCACGCTGAGGATAAGCAAAACACCATAGGGTCCGGTTTGTTCCTTTCCCCGCACGGCGTCGCAGCCGTTGTGGAGTCTGACATGCATCTCCGCCGCGCACCTGACACTGGCAGCAGCAAGTAAGAAAGCACCCGCGAGGCTGACGTCTTCGACTCGACGGTCTGACAGCCAGTGAACGCGCCGGGAGCCGGATTTCTCGTCGTCGAAGCGGGTGATTCGCTCCGGCGCGGGCCGTTGGCGCTGTTTGGCGAGGTTGGGGGGATTCCCGCTATCGGCACCTACATAAGCAGATTTTTTGGGCGCTGAGTGGGATTATTAGAGTTGTAAAACGGGTTTACTGCTGGTAGCGAAGGATGATAGCAGTGGGGAGGAGCCAGTGGAGGAGGGCGGAGTTTAATCTTCGGCACTGTGGCTATGTGTAAAAAGGGAAGGGAGCGGCAGCGTTATGGTGTTAGTAAGAAGAGAACGCGCAGATAGTTTATCTCTAGTTCATCAGGAGATGAAATTGTGGAGAGTTGCAGATGGCGGTGATATAGCAAGGGTTTTGATAGAAGGTCCAGATGCGTCGCAAGATTTGGCCTCGTTTGGGCAAAGATATGGAGAGCATGGAGAGGTACTTCCCAACTCAGCCCTCACCGTGCGAGGCTGTCGTGGATTCGGCGGTACCGGACTCCCGTAGTGGTGTGCACACCTGTGGCCTCATCCACGGCTAGGGCTGCTCGCATATGCCATGCTGCCCGTCGCGAGGGTGTGCTGCCCGGTCGCGTCGCCAGGGGTGCAAAGTCCGGACGAGTGGGCTGCAGGCACCCTGCGAGCTGTCACTGAGGGCCGAGACACTCGATTGGGATGCATTACAGCGCTTCCGAAACCTCCGACGCACTGGCTGTCTAGGAGGGTAAGTTTCAGCGCCGGAAAGCACGCTGCTGCACTGGTCCACGCGATGCGGGAGTGGGATGCAAGGCGTGAGGTGGGCTGGTTTGGGAGACTGGCGGCCAGCGTGCGTCGCAGGCGCTGTACGTGTCGTGCTCGAAGTGGTTGTGCTGCGTGTCGGCTGGGCAATGAGGGCACGAGTCGGGACGAAGAGCGATGACGACAAGACTTGGACAGAGATGCCAGGCGAGGGGAGTCACGATGGTGAGCGCGTGGGAGACAAAAGAAACGGCGGGAGTCTGCGGAGGAAGAGGCAATCATCGTGGTCGCGGCGTGGGCGAGCGATGAGCGATGAGCGCTGATCGATGATGAGAGCGGGCAGCAGCGGGAGACTCATCCGCGAATCCTTCCAGGTTCCCTGATGCTTTCATTCCAAAAACCTTGGATTCGGACCAGGAGAGGTATCCAAGTATCATGGATCCAAGTCTCCCACGCGTATCTCCAAGCACGCCACTCCCCGGCAGCCTCCCGGTGTTGGGACTCCAGGCGCTGACGTCCGGCCATGCCTGCGGTTTGATCCCCAGCACAGTCCGAACTCGACTGGCGATAGACAGGGAGCGTGGCGGCCAGGCCAGCCCTCCCGCGCTCCCCGTCGCCGATGGAGGCCATGATGCCAATCAGGGACACATATAACCTGCCCTAACCTCCCATCAACCACCCAGCTCCCTGCCCGCCGACTGCTGCTGCAACAGCACACGCTTCACGCTTCATGCCTCGCACCATTATTTTGATTGAGTGAATGACTTGCTCCAGCCCCGCTCGCCCAAGCCCGGCAATCCACTTTCACGCTGCATTGCAGCCACCCACCGCTCTCCACGCCGCTGACTCGCACCCGCTTCGCACGGTACGGCTGACAGCGCAGCGGTGCTGCAGCGGAGCGACGGCACAAGCAAAAAAAGACAACGGGCCCACGCCTGCATAACCGCCCTAGTCAGCCAACGCATGGGATCCCAGCGGCGGATATATACCGAGCAGTGAATTGCACCGGCCCTGCTTGTTCTCAGCTCGCCCCGTGGAACTCAAATTAGTCGAGACTCGCTGCTGACTGACGTTGGCATTACTTCTACTCGACACTACAAAGCCACGACGTGACCCTCGCCTGACTACGAACCTTTCACGACTCGACTACGACTTTACGACTGCGCATTTATTGCTGCCTACGATACCTCAACGATTCAACGACTTACGACCCTACCTCGCTGCCTGTCTTCCCATCTGCCACTAGACCAACATCCAAAATGGCGAACCGCTTATACATCTCCCTCCCAGCGCCCTGCCCAGCAAAGCCCGCCAACCGCCGCCCTCCGCTCACGCCCTCTACTGTCTCAGCGCCTTCACTGAGCGCGTGTACACCCACCGTGTCCCGCCGTGACAGTGGCAGCGGCAGTCCCACCAAGGCGACGTCACTGCTTGCAAAGGTAGCATCGCACCCCTCAACGCCACGCCGCGGTATGACACCTGCGTCCTCGCCACTTCCCTCGCCCACACCGAAGTCACCAGAGGAGCACGACTCGCCACTGTACGAGAAGGACGGAAGGCCAATGATTTGGAGACACGACTCGGCACGCCACTTCCACAGGCATCAGTCGCAAGACGGTTACATCAGCTTCCCAGATTTCGAGAAGTTCTGCCAGACTCAAGAGTACCAGACAAGAGATGAGCACCAAAATGCTCAAAGAACGGCAGTGAAGACGTGAAGCGACGCGCGGAAAGAAGGATGGAATGTGCTTCAAAGAGGAAGTACTCTGCTGAGACTGGGAAAGTCTCAGCCTAATCAACAAACAAATGTCTTACTACGACTTTTATCTTCCGCGTTATCGGAGGTTACACCGTGTTTTGGGAATATCCAGTTGTTAAAAGGAGACGGAGGGGTGTGTGGTCGATAGGGCGAAGTCCCTCGGGGATCGAAGAGCACAACAGCACCCATCGGCTCCATGGCCTGATTCAAGGCGGCATTTCTTGCAGAACCCCGTCAGAAGAAAGTTACCGCCTGAATGGTTCCGCTTCTACTACGGAGTGCGCAAGCGACAGTCACTAGCCATCTTCATGAGACAAGTTTCTAGTCTGCTATCCTCCTGGAAGCCGCTGTCATATTGTTCTTGGTGTGTACGACCGCATCAATTAGCTTTCATCAGCTTCGTCTCGAATGGAGGGTTTATAGCGGGAATGGTTGGGGAACTGGCGCATTCGACGCCTCATCCTGGGATAGCGGTCACTGCTATTGAGCAGCTCATCAGCATCGATAGTTGCTTCTTGAGGCTGGAGTGGAGGGAATGTCAGGTCGAGGAGGATCTGTTCTCCCAGCGCCGGCGTTTGCGGAGTATGTAAATAGACGCTCTTGCTAGCGTTCAGTTATTCAATTTAATATATGATACCACGAGATATAAAGATAATCTTTGGCAGTGCCGTGCCGTGATTTCGATGCTATGAAATTCAAGATGCTCTTGTCCCAGATCGGCGTTCAGGTTTGTGAGTGCCAAGGCCGGAAAAACCTGACCTCCGGACTCGCTTCGGAAGGAGCCCACGACCGCCCACCCGCAAAATCAACTTGACGACGACCTCGCGCATCTCCAACCTCACGTCTATTCCAGCACAACAGTCTATCCAATATGGCTGTCGGGTACGTCAAAATCCAATCTCCCCATCACGGTCGCCATTTTGCTCCGGACATTGCTTTGTGGACCACCCGCACGACCAAGGAATCTTCATATCAACATCAAAGCGCAGATAGTGGCGGCATGGCTTTGAGAAGATCTTTGGGATGTGCGAGACTCTGCAAAGTAATTCTAGAGCATGCACATTTAGCTTTTGACTGCGCTTTCAAAGAACTTGGCTAACATCACTTTTCTTACAGCAAGAACAAGGTACATGAAACCAGAACCACTCGCATCACACTCCGACGCATACTAAAAAATCGACCAGAGACTTTCCAAGGGAAAGAAGGGCCTCAAGAAGCGAACCGACCCCTTCGCGAAGAAGGACTGGTACAACATCAAGGGTGAGATTGGCAGACGACTTCGCACACTTGGATGCCATACTGAAGGAAATACCAGCACCCGGCACCTTCCAGGTCCGCGATGTCGGCAAGACGCTCGTAAACCGAACCACCGGTCTCAAGAACGCCAACGACGCCCTCAAGGGCCGGATAGTCGAGGTCTCGCTCGCCGATCTGCAGAAGGATGAGGACCACGCGTTCCGCAAGGTCAAGCTACGCGTCGACGAGGTGCAGGGCAAGAACTGCCTGACCAACTTCCACGGCCTCGACTTCACCTCGGACAAGCTGCGCTCGCTGGTGCGCAAGTGGCAAACCCTCATCGAGGCCAACGTCGTCGTCAAGACCACCGACGACTACCTCCTCCGCCTTTTCGCCATCGCCTTCACCAAGAGGCGGCCCAACCAGATCAAGAAGACCACCTATGCGGCGACTTCGCAGATCCGCGCCATCAGGAAGAAGATGACCGAGATCATGCAGCGTGAGGCTAGCAGCTGCACGCTTTCTCAGCTTACCCAGAAGCTGATCCCCGAGGTCATCGGCCGCGAGATTGAGAAGGCGGCGCAGGGCATCTACCCGCTCCAAAATGTATTTTCACAATTCTCGAGACTCTAACGTAGCATTATGCTAACGATTCTCAGGTGCACGTACGAAAAGTCAAGCTTTTGAAGTCACCGAAGTTCGACCTGGGCGCTCTGCTCGGTCTACATGGCGAGTCTTCGGCGAACGATTCGGGAGAGAAGGCATGTTCCCACCACCCCACTCACATTCTACCACTTCTAACGAACCCCAGGTCGAGCGGGAATTCAAGGAGACTGTCCTCGAGACCGTCTAGATTCGGCTTCGCACTAAAAGTGTGGGTTGCTGACGAATTAGTTGACGACTGGTTGTTGGGGCTCGGCTTCTTTTCTCATTGGCATCGGTCAAAGGTGTTTTCTGTTCAAAGGTTATCAACACAATGACCAAAAAATCGAATCAAGTAGCTTGAACTCATCACCGGTTTCTGCTATACGTCTTGGAATGAGGAGAGAGAAAGCGATGCCAGGGGAGTGGGGACGGTGAAAGAGGCACGGAGCGAGCGTGTGCGTGCTGTGAGGATAATGAGACAGCTTGCCCAACACGCCCCCCTCCCTTCGATCTCTCGTGAAGCTCGGTCAAGCCAACCGCTGTATGCCTCTCGAGGCCCTCAATCCCTGGCCTCCCACACTCTCAGTCCCTTCAAGAAACAACCCTACGATACTAACCAAACTCGCCCCACCAGGGCTCACCCTTAGCCCA